TTTGAAAACCTCATCTTGTGATCTTTCTGCTCTGCCTTTTTGCGGTGTAATATGTTGGTTTAGAGTCTTTAAGGGAGATCTTAGCCACTTATTTGGAGAATCGCTTTTTCTAGGTGTCATCTGCGCTAATCTCTCACTTCTTCTTTCAGGAGATTTCAAAGTAGAGTGTTCTTGCTTAGATGGTGAGAAGATGTTCCCCAAGTTTCTAGCACTCTTCCTTTCTAGTGGACTTTTGGAAGGCGTTTTAAGCCTTTTTGGCGTACGGACAGGTGTGCGTGGTGTACAAGGAGATTTCTGCGACAGTCTCTTTCCTTGTGACTTTTCACAGTTTGAAGAAGCTTTTCGTGGCATTTTTCTTGGAGTCTTCCTTTGTTGCTTTTCTGCCATCTGAAAAAAATACAAAAATTGTCATCTTAAGACCTTTCTAAGTGATACTGACCAGAAATTAATTTTTAGTTACATGAGGTTTTTATTTTTTTTTAAATGTTAATAGCTTTTCACATCTGCTGATCACAGTGTACACATCTGGAGTCTATGAAAGGAAATAAGTCACACCGCAGCAAGCTAGAAAGCGAAATTAAATGCACCCTGTTCATTCTGTGTCTATTCATTATAGATCATATAGATTTAGAAGGCTATTCATTAACCCCTTAGTGACTAAGGGTAAAACAATTAATGCCTGAACACAAATTTTGCAACTTTGACATGTGTTCGTAAAACCGTACATATCACAATTACTTTGTGTACCCAGGTGGAATATACCTTGTTCTGTTCAGGAAAATTTGGACTTTGTTTGGTGGTAAATGGTAAAGGATATCGCCTGATTCCCCCCCCCCCCATTATAAATGGAAACCTGGCTCAAAATAGTAAAAAAATGAATAAAGTAATACCTCAGTTTACAAATGCCTCCGTTAATGTAATTTTCGGTTAAGAATGAAATCCATTGAAAATAATGCCTCAGCTTATGAATTTTTTTCGCAATACGAAGTGTATGTCGGTGCTGATTTTTAAATGCAATTGCCGGCTTTTTTTTTTTTCTTCTTCACTATAGCTGACAGAATTAGCTGTCACTTAGCCCCGAGTTAAGAAACTAAAAGAAAAACATTGTTTTTCTTAACTCGGGGAAATTAACTAAAAGAAAACTCTTTCTTTTAGCTGGGGGGAAGTGAAAGCAGAATTTCTGAGCTATAAAGAAGTGTCCCTGTCTTTTTTCACACTACACTTAGTTTTTTCTGAATGAGTAGGGGTACCCCATACTCATTCACATGAAGGGGGGGGGGATTGGCGGGATCTGGGGGCTGCCCGCAGACTCCCACAAGCACCAGCCAGGGTTGTGGGGTAGAGGCCCTCATCCCTATCAACATGGGGACAAGGTGCTTTGGAGGGCGGAGTGGAGCCCCCCAACCCCATAGCACCCCCCCCCCCCACGTTGAGGACATGTGGTCTGGTATGGTTCAGGAGGGGGGCCCCTGCTCGGTCGCCCCCCTCCCCCCCCCGTTTCCTGACCTGGCTGCATGTTGGGATAAGGGTCTGGTATGGATGAGTGGAAGGACCCCACTCTGTTTTGTTTTTTTTTTTTTAATTGCCAGCAATTCTTTTACATTCAGCGGGTTAGTGACCTCCGGAACAGGTTAATTGATTTTCAAAGCATTCCTATGGGAAACGGCATTTCGGTTTATTAATTTTTCGCTATACGGAACGTCCTGCAGAACTAATTAAATTCGTAAACTGAGGTATTACTGTATATACGAGGATTCTCCAAAATGTTTCTGAACACACGTTTTATTTATTTATATATATATATATATATATATATATATATATATATATATATATAAAAAAAAAAAAAAAAACCAAAGAATGGACTTTTTTGCACACTAGTATTGGTGTAGTATAATAATATTGCACTTTATAAATATTGCATTTGATTTCAGCACTTTATTACTGCAGGTACACTATATTGCCAAAAGTATTGGGGCGCCAGCCTTAACATGCACATGAACGTTAATGGCATCCCAGTCTTAGTCCGTAGGGTTCAATATTGAGTTGGCCCGCCCTTTGCAACTATAACAGCTTCACCCCTTCTGGGAAGGCTGTCCACAAGGTTTAGGAGGTGTCTATGGGAAGGTTTGACCATTCTTCCAGAAGCACATTTGTGAGGTCAGGCAATGGTCGGAGGAGGTCTTACTCACAGTCTCTGCTCTAATTCATCCCAAAGCTGTTCTATTGGGTTGAGGTCAGGACTGGAGGAACTTGACTGGCCTGCACAAACTCACTCATCCATGTCTCTATGGACCTTGCTTTGTGCACTGGTGCCCAGTCATGTTGGAACAGGAAGGGGCCATCCCCAAACTGTTCCCACAAAGCTGGGAGCATGAAATTGTCCAAAATGTTTTGGTATGCTGATGCCTTAAGAGTTCCCTTCACTGGAACGAAGGGGCCAAGCCCAACCCCTGAAAAACAACCCCACACCATAATCCACCCTCCACCAAATTTAACACTTGGCACAATGCAGTCAGGGAAGTACCGTTCTCCTGGCAAACCAAACCAGAAGTCCCACAGACAGAAGCGTGTCTGTCAATTGGATTCCAGAGACAGTCTCTACTGCTCTAGAGTCCAGTGGCGGTGTGTCTGTCGACGCTTTGCATTGCACCTAAAGCTTGGAAAGCTGCTCGGCCATGGAAACCCAATTCATGAAGCTCTCTACACATTGTTGATATGCTAATCTGAAGGCCACACCAAGTTTGGAGATCTTTAGCTATTGACTCTGCAGACAGTTGGTGACCTCTGCGCACTGTGTGCTTTAGTGTGTTCTGACCCCGCTCTGTCATGTTACGTGGCCTACCACTTCGTGGCTGAGTTGCTACTGTTCCCAGTTGCTTCCACTTTTTTACCCTGACCCTTACTTGACCCAAACACCAACCATGGCACTGACCTAGATCAAACATTAATCTAGCTTTTTGTCTTTAATGTTTCTTTTATTTGTCTTCTTCTTTCTCCCTGCTGCAAAGAGAGAGACAGTGGGATTGATTTACTGAAACTGGAGTGCGTAAAATCTGGCTACCATGCACAGCAGCATCAGTCAGCTTTCAGTTGTTTTTCATCAAAGACTATTTGAACAAGCTGAAGCTAGAAGCTGATTGGCTGATTCATGCACAGCTGCACCAGATTTGCACTCTCCAGTTTTAGTAAATCAACCCCAATGGCTAAGTGGCTAGCACTTCGGCCTGGCAGTACTAGGGTCGTTGGTTCGAATCCCAGTCACGGCACCACCTGCCTGGAGTTTGCATTTTCTCCCTGTGCCTGCGTGGGTTTCCTCCGGATACTCCGGTTTCCTTCCACACTCCAAAGACATGCTGGTAGGTGAATTGGATCCTGTCTAAATTGGTCCTAGTATGTGTATGTATGAATGTGAGTTAGGGACCTTAGATTGTACACCCCTTGAGGGTTAGGGACTGATGTGAATGTACAATATATATGTATAAGCACTGCGCAAATTGACGGCGCTATATAAGTACCTGAAATAAATAAATTCCGAGAGAAAGAAAACACAGGGGGGCAGGCTGCACTGTGACTGATCACTATGATAGCTGATCAGAGGCTCTCTCAGTGATCAGGTAACTCGGAACTGGAAGTCCCGGGTCCCGATTGTTAGTATGGGACCCGAGGCTCCTAGTGAGAACCTGGTCTCTGTGCTGGGAGCACGCTGAACACATGTTCACATCAGGATGACAGAAAATAAGGAAAGAGTTGTTGCCCTCAAGGATCAGTCAGGTTTCATCTCGTCTTGCAATCTTGTGTGGAAAAGCTAGACCCAGAATAAGTTGATATTTGTGTCCACCATGCTCTAACATGTGAAAATCATGCTGTGCCCATATACAGCTATATAGTTTAACTTCGTCAGCAGCTCTGAGATTTTCCCACAGACTGCTATCACCCCAACATCCAGTAGCTGACAAGACTCAAAGGTCACCTGTGTGAGACCTTTGTCTAGAATGAGGCATGCATGTGAATAATTAGCATACTATTATCTCCTTTGCATTCAATTATTCAATCTGCTTGTAAGCCATCACAACTTTTAACTACCTCCTGTGCTGATTGTTCAGGATCGCTCAGCAACTTTCTTCTTGCCTTCCTCGCTGGAGGACTGGTCGTTCCAAGAACCTCTCCAAAGAGTAAACGTTTAGGAGTTTTTGCCTCAGTGCTGAGCACACTTCCTAATGACAAAGATGGCATTTTATTTTACTTTTAATGCATTTCGGGTTACATTTTCTTTTAAATGTTGCTTTATGAGTTTTTGCTCTCAAAAGACAAAAATATCACAACACCCTTATAGGCATCTTACCTTTCTTATTTTCAGCAACGACCTGCTGGCTGGCAGAATGAACCCTCTCCAGATGACGAGATTTTGGCTGCGAAGCATAGAAAGAAGAAGAATCTCTTCTTGAAAGGGCCAGTTGCTTAATACGGGGGCTCCTACGGACATCTAACACAGAGCGGGCAAAGGTAAGACAGGTCATATAACTATCAACCATCTTCATTTATAAATACATTAAACTGAAACTCCAGGCAAACCATTAAAGTAGTATTAATTCCAAAAGCAAACATCATATTGCAGGTTACAAATTCTTTAATGTGATGGTTGCTCAGAAGAAAGCCGTGACTGTCAAGTCTCAGACTCGCTGCTATGCTCCTCCAGCGCTCAATGGAGCACTGGACTGTGGAGGGGGCAGGGCTGGCTCAGGCTCTTGTAGGATCGCTGAGAGGCTGAGCCAGGTGCCTGCCTAGGCTTCTGGGTGGATCCCAACTATATGTTTGGGATCTTTTCAGAGCCTGGACTGGCTGAGTAATGTCATCACACCAGCGTGCATGCCACGTGTGCTCCAGCCCTTACTTCCGGGTCTCCACCATCTTGGTGGCTCAGCCTGGTTTAGTGACAGTGGATCTGCAGCGACATACGGCAGTACCCAGACGGCTACACTGTGACGTTCCCCTGTTGACGGATTAGATGTGCTTTTTATTTATCCACTCTTCTGTAAGTGGCTTTATATTGTGTGCAATAAACAGATGTTTTTAGTCTACACTTAGAGGTGCCTTCTCTTTTTTACATTGAATGCAAAGGTGTCACCCGTTTCTGATCCACTTTTTTTTTTTTTTTTTTTTTTTAAGAGGTAAGAGCGTGTTTTACCCAGTGTAACCTTCTGGATACAGGCACCCAAGAATGGTCCAAACAAGTGTTTGCCCTCAAGCCAACTTGAGGCTCTTGGAAAGTCTTTCATGGTTGCTGCCAAATGGCTGGCTTTTCCAGGTCTCAATCTGGAACAGAGCATAAGCATTGCCCAGACTTAAAGGGCTTGGCAAACTCCCACAACAGAGCACTCCTACCACAGACAAGGATACCTTAAAGAGGGCCCCTAACCACCTATCAATGGTTTCTTTAGAAGAACAAAACCATAGTGCCGGTTCACACGAGAAAATGCATGTAAACGCTGTGTGGTTCCTGTGTGATTCACATGCAGTTCTGTGCAGTGCGATTAAGGCCCATTTATTTTGAAGGAGCTAAAATTGCACTGCACTAAAAAAAGCAGTGCATGCACTACTTATGGAACACTGCAACTGTATCGCATGGCACTTTTGTACCAAGCGATCTGGTGGGGGCAAACACACTGCATTTGGAGTGTCATTAACTTATTGATGCCCATTGCAGATCTCAATTGGACTGTGTTTCACATGCAGGTATGAATCGCACAGGCATGCACAGAGCGTTTCTGTGTGGCCATAGTGTGTACCAATCCTTAACGCATGAAATAGCTGATGAGGGTTCACGGGAAAAGCTGGGGTTTTGTAGGAGACCGCCAGAAACCAAAACCAGGGACTGAACCAGGGGAAGAGGATTCCACCAGTGGTAATTTAAGATTAGCGGTCTGCTAAGTCTGTGTCAGCCCTGTATCCAAATTATTCCTTCTGGGGGAACTGGTGCACACAGGATTCCTGAGCCACAACAGCTTCACCTTCCTCAGGAATCTCCTGCGGATGCCTAACTCTCCTACAAAGGTGGAGGAATGGAAGCAGAGTTCCCCATGTTTGCATCCCAGACAATCAAAGCCAATAAATCCCTGAGAGTGTATTAAGCAGCTCAGATATGGCTGCAGAAAAATTCCTCTTAACACAAAAGGAAAGTCTAGAACTGAACCCCAAAAAAAAAGTAGAAAATACCATATAGGAGAAAGGTTGCAGAAATAACCTGACCCTTTAAGAAGGCACTCCAGGGTACACTTTGTAGGGGGTTTCCCTATCTCACAGAAGGAATTGGGAGCCCACCCTATCATCCTTCCCACACCTCTGTATGGTCAATGGGCCATCATTGCCCACAGGATCCAGAGATGACTGGCAGACATAACAGCTTATTGCTCTTGTATGCGGGGTCTAGGTACAGTCCCACTTGGCAATTAGGCCTCAGCAACTGATTCTGATGAAGCCCTTTGCTACCTTACCCAGTGGCGTTAACAGCTGGCTAGAAAATCAGGACTAAGCCCTTTCAAGGAGGATCTTCAGAGAGATCTGTGTGCACATCCATCATTTAATGACACAAACTGAAGACAGACTTAGCGGAGCCAGGAGTGGTCATGCTTGGACAGGGATTTCCAATTTTTTTTTGAAGGATAACATAAGAATTCCTATTTATTCCTCTGCATCCTGTGATGTGCAATTAAAGCAGAACTACACTATATCTGAGCACCATAAAAACGCTACTTAATTTATTTTTGTTATTCGAACCAAACTCACCTATCCACCCATGTCTCCATGCTTTATTTTGAGAAATCACTTTGAAAAACAACCCCTAGCATTTCTGACTGCAGCGACCTTGAGTAAGGGCAGAGGATTCATGTAACATTTACTTCCTGGAGTCCATCTGCCCTTAGTGCAAGCATACAGGCAGGAGGGTGTGCTTAGCTCAGCCAACCCCTCCTTCCCTCCTGAAGAGTCCTGGGATGTATGACATCATTGGCCTAGGCATGAAAACCAGGAAGTAACTGAAGAAACGTAAAAAAAAAAAAAAAAAAAAAAAAAAAAAAAAAAAGGTTTAACACAAGTAAATGTGATCTACTTTCCTATCTATTTAATAAAGCTAGCAGTATGAGGATTACAAATAATGTTGACAGAGAGTGAAGTTCTGTTTTAAGACATATATATATATTTTTACAATCTTCAAGTAAACTTAGGGGGTTTATACTTTGTTGGTAACTGGAAAATCCATTTAAAGCTGAACTTTAGTCAGAAAATGAAATCCTGCAAGATCACTTCAGGCTGGCCCCTTTTGCAGGTATCGCTATGGCAGGGGTCTCCAAACTGCGGCCCAAAAGCCTGATGTGGCCCATTGCTTGCTTTTTTTTATGGCCCTTGGGGCACTATTCCTTCCACTGACACAAACAATGGGGTACAGTTCCTACTAATGACAGAGATGGGGAACAAATTGTCCCACTGACCACCAAGCCTATGGCATGGTTTACTCCCACTGATGCCAGGGCATTTTCTACTTCCACTCGTCGCATTCTGGCCCCCCTCTAAAGTTTGGCTTTTTGTTTAGAAAGTTTGGAGATAACTGGTCTATACTGTGTAAAATCCAGTAATACACCATTTTATCCTGCGCTGCACATGCTCAGTTGCTCTCTATTTTTAGGCACTGTACCAAATCTGTAGAGTCTGATCTGTTGACAGCCTAAAAATTTAATGCTGCTCATGAATCTGGGATTCAGTAGAATGGCAGCCTTTGGCAAGAAAAAGGAGCAATACTGGAGGCAGTTTGCAGCACACACTAATATTGGTAGCATTATTATTATGTGGAATGTTATTGCTAAACAACATTATTTTTTAACAAGTTATGGGTAAAGTTCCATTTTCAGCATTAACTGTGCTATTAAGAACTCCAAAGAAAAAAAAAAAAAAAAACACAAAAAAATTGCACAAACCACTAAACAGTTGATAGACTTTTCTGCTAAATGGTAAGGATTTTCAAAAATGTAATTGAATTTTCATGACCTCATCTCTGTAAATTAAAAAGATAACAGCATTGGCTCTGCCAAGGAGGAGGTGTGAGAGCCGGGATTACATCATATCCTCTCTCTCTGCAGTAAAAGGAAACTACAGTTCCCATAAACCACAGGGAGTCATAGTGAATGTGGGCAGGTACACTAGGCCTGTACATGTTGAATGTATCTGAGAGTCTTGGTTCGCCCACCACTGCAAGTGGGGCTGAATTACATCACTGCTTCCTGGAGAAAGAACTACAGAAGGGATGTGCCAAGACAAATGTCTGGGGGAATATGAGGCATAGCATACACTGTTCTTACAAACAGGAAACCAAAGAGAATTAGCCTATTCATTTTCAAATCAAATGGTTATTTCAGAGCAACTACTGAGTGAACCTGAAGATGGAGGACATATTCAGTGAAGGTAGGAAATCAGCAACAAGAACATATAAAAGAGGTTTTTGCCAGAGTTCTGCTTTACCCCTTGTAAGGTATCCTTGGAACTTCCATTTGCTACAATGTCATGGTCTTTTCAGCAACCATGAACCTATAGCAGAATATGGTCTTCTAAAAAGCTGGATAAATAGACGTAATCAACGACTGACAAGCAGATAATCGCAGCCATACAACCAAAAATGTGACCCCCTCACCCCATCCCCATGTGCTGCTACCATTGCTGGCTGCGTGTGTGTCACCTATCAGATCCTCCAGCCATGAAGTGCATTATAGTACACAATGCATGTGTTGATGTGCGATGTGCACATGTACTGCAGTGCATTGTTACAAAGCATCACAGTACTTTTTTTTTTCTTTTTTTTTTTTTACAAATTACATTCAATCAACTCAATCAATGCATAGAAGCGCATTGAATGCCTTGTATTGGGTTGTACTGTGTACTTTTTTTTTTTTGCTGTAAGTAAAAAATTAAAAAAATTGTCCTTGGCAGCAAAGACATACTGTAAGTATAGTTGAGATTTAATGTACATTTGCTATATCTCAATTTCTAACTAGAAATTGTGAATCAGTCGTATACAAGTTGAATTAGAAGGATATGAAGCACATGCAGATACATTCCAGTTGACACTACATAAAGTATTAGGGTTTCTCAACCAGGGTTCTGTGGAACACTAAAATTCCTCCAGAGTTTGCTAGGGGTTCCTTGAACAATAAACAATTTCTGCATCTTAGAAGAGTAACCACTAACACCAATAATCCTTTTAGCTAATTGTAAGTGGAGGAATCTGCCCGATGACCACAAATGTAAAGAGCATTCTTCACATTCACCATCACACTAATGCACTGTGAGCTGTAAATACTGTATTACAATAGTTCCATGAAGCCAAAAAGCTATATTTCAAGGCTTCCTCCATGTTAAAAAGGTTGAGAAAGGCTGCTATAAGGGATCACACACAAAATATAAAATTGTATCTCCTGATACGTACACTTTGGTGACATCAACAGCAACTGACAAGTCTGGATAAGTCCTAGTGTTTGGCTAAAAAGGACATAATCCACCTATATATGTTCCAAACCCCTTTACGATTACCTCTTAAATCCTTTTCTGGAGATTCCTCGACAATGTTGATATCAGATGTAGACTCGCTGCACCTGTGAAAGCAAACAGGGAGTACTTAGCTTACTGTGGGCACTGAGGTTTATGGGCATCGATACCTAGGATGCAAGATTTAATGTATACCCGACAAGCCTGTTAATTATATTTTACAGAAGTGAAAATAGGCAAATTTACTAATAATACTTTACAGGACACAGACTCTTAGGTCTTGGAGAACAGGATGTCCAAAAAGCAAAGCAATGGAGGGATGGGCAACACAGCAAACACATGTCCGCAGGTTCATACAACACACGGGCAGAGGGCTTGAGAACTCTTGTTTTCGAACACTCGGAATGCTCTACAGAGTAAGGCTTTTTTGCAAACACATCTGACAGAAGCGAATGTACTGAGTATGGCAACCTTGTAAGTTGAGGAAGACTGGGGGAAAATCCCTGACATGCGGTTTCCGAAGAACCGACAAAACCAAACTCCCACCGTGCCAATGGAAAGTGATCAACATCCCTGCACAAAGGTTTTCACCAGCAAGCGAGAGGCCAGTGGTCTCTGAAAAAGAATGAAAGGGGTACAAACAATAATCCAGACCAAAGTAGAGGACAACTAGGATTCATCCCATAGAGAACTTCCTGGGCTTGTTACAGAATTGCCTGGGATGGAGCTTCTTTGCAACACAAAATATAGGCCTCTTCCAGGTAAGATGACAGACTTGGTGTAAAGTCAATTTCCAAGCTTTTAGGAGCCTATGGATGACTGGAGACCTTCAGGATTCAGAAGCAGGATAGTGGATTCGTCCCAGGGAGAGGAGATCTGAACAATCTGTGCAGCCCCACACAGAGTCTGCCAGGCGTATAAGCATGTACTATGTCCTATAGATAAACAAGTGCAGCACTAGTGAAAATGACAAATGACAGTAAAGTATCTCTCAACGCTCTAGCGTTCTTATAAATAAATGGTGACATGAGTGAACAAACAGCGAAAAAAATTATATGATATGATAATGGCGAATCGCTCTTATTCCGGCACTACAGTGACAAACATAGAAGCATTAGTGAATAAGCAAAATACAGCGTAGCGCTAAAATGCAGCGCAATGGTGACAAATGTATCTATATCGTGACTGCAGTGAACAAATCAACAAATATAGCAACTCAAAACAAAACTCAAACACCAATAATCAAAATGTATCAAAAAAGTCCAAAAGATGAACGTGACATCAAGTGATAGGTGAATCCGTGACAAATTCTTCCTTCGAATGCACTCACCAGAAGCGCATATTAAATGTGCATTCAAAAGCAGTGGTAACAAACTCCTCCAACAGGTCAGCCTTATCCACCGCCGGGTACAGGTAAAGGGAATGCACAGCTGTCAAGCACCAGAAATAGGGGATACCTCTGACAGATCGCTCAATCCTCAGCATAAAAAAACGCCCCACCTTGAAGGGAACAGCTCATAAAAGAGCCCAGAGAGATAAAGCTCTAATGGTACATTATTTTTATTTGAAAATGTAAAAATGACCTGTACCCGACGGTGGATAAGGCTGACCTGGTTGGAGTTGGACATTTACCATTGCTTTTAATGCGCATTTAATATGCACTTCTGGTGAGTGCATTCGAAGGAAGAATTTGTCATGGATTAAACTATCACTTAATGTCACGATCATTGTTTGGACATTTGATACATTTGATTATTGGTCTTTGATTTTTGTTTTGAGTTGCTATATTTGTTGATTTGCTCACTGCAGTCACGATATAGATACATTTGTCCCTATTGCGCTGCATTTTAGCGCTACACTATATTTTGCATATTCACTAATGCTTCTATGTTTGTCACTGTAGCGCTGGAATAAGCGCGCTTCAACATTATATATAATTTTTTCGCTATTTGCTCACTCACATCACCATTTATTTATTTATAAGAACGCTAGAGCGTTGAGATACTTTAATGTCACTTTCACTAGCGCTGCACTTCTTATCTATTGTTCCTGAGGATATAGTGGGTTGTCCTTTTGTGCTAGCGGCTGCTCCTGCATATTTCTCCCTGTGTGCTCACTGCCATTCTTTATGTACTATGTCAGCAATGGGCAAACTACGGCCCGCAGGCCGTATACGGCCCGGCGCACCTTTTAATCCGGCCCGCGGGAGCTAGGCTCCCGCTAGGCTCCTCTCACAGTCCGCCCTGAAGACCGGTGCAGCATGAAAATCTGTCTCCTATGAGGATCTGTCCCCCTCGACGTATCTGCGCATGTGCCGGAGATCGCTGATCGGCTGCTAATGCCTGAAACTGGCAACATGCGCAGATACATCGAGGGGGACAGATCCTCATAGGAGACAGATTTTCATGCTACACCGGAACACGGCGAGAGGAACGCGCGGAGCAAAGGTAAGTTAATTGACACAGGGGGGACTTAATATGGGGGATGAATTAATATGGGGAATGAATTACTATGGGGGATGAATTACTTTATGGGGGATGAATTACTTTATGGGGGATGAATTACTTTATGGGGGATGAATTACTATATGGGGGATGAATTACTATATGGGGGATGAATTACTATGCTTACTATGGGGGAATATTACTATACTTACTATGGATGACACATACACATCATTCATCTACTCTTGGTCCGGCCCCCGGGTCCAATATATGAATCCATTGCGGCCCTCAAGTCAAAAGGTTTGCCCACCCCTGTACTATGTCCTACTGGACCAGATCCGTGCAGTCACTGGTAAAAAGGTATCTGATCCTAACGACAAATCTGTCATTTGTTGTTAAATCTGGACACTGAAAAAGAGTCATGTCTAGTAAGGCTAGAGCAGGTGAAGAACAGATGGTTGGGACTAAGCTCTCTCCAGGTCTTCACCCTCCCAGAAGGCATAACCCCAAAACCAGGAATATTGAGGTTCAGTCTAACATTTTCTTCTAGCAGAAGCCCAAATCTCATGTTTGTACAATGATTTAGAATCTTTACATCACAGTTCCCAACCCCTCCTTACTTCATAGCCCCCTGCACTTCACAGTCCTACTTTACACGGCAAGGAACGATAGGAGCTGCCCAACTGTTTATGTTAACATGTGGGGATTGGTTGCTAGGTCCTGCTCACCAGGAAGGGAGTCATGGGAAGAGACGCCTGAGAGAAGCCACCCAGGGGCTGCTAAGTGGCGCGGCCATGGCAGTTTGGATAGGTCAGTTCTCAGTCTGCATCCATTAAGTGATGTATGCCCTAAAAAAGGGTCTTCGAGGTCGGAGTTCCACCAGTGGATGGTCCACAGCCCTGGACCTGAATAGCACTCTGCGGCTTGGACTACGTGCCTAGGTGAGCACCCACACAGGATCCAGTAATCTTACAGGCTGCTATCGCATCTTCTTCCAAAGCAAGGTCCAGGTACATTCTCCCAATGCTCAACTGAACATATATAGCCAATCTATAAAGCTGCTAAATAAAAGCCATGATGGCTATGAGCACCTAGTAACTTGCTAGAAGGGTGTAGCTGCACCAAAAAAAGAAAATTGGGAGTAGAGACAAGACGTCCGTACACCTAAGTACATTAGCAGAAAAACAGTCTTTTTGGGAGTGGACAGGGTTATGCTAGAGCGCTTCTTACAGATTTGTTTCCCAGTATTCAGTCATCTGAAGGTAGCTGCATAACCCAAGGTTCAAGACTAAAGCTGGCCATACACTACACAATCTGATTGTATAATTTCCTTTAGATCTACTATCAACTATGCAGTGTAAGGGCCTGTCCAACTGGATAAAATTGAATGGATTGTTTATGTACTCATGCTACATAGTTTTGGTAAATCTAAAGTAGATTACACAATCTAATTGTATAGTGTATGACCAGCTTAAGTGTCCTGTAATGAACGACTAAGGCCTGACTCACACAACTTCAGTTGCACTGAATCGCACAACCGAAATCACATTATTTTCAATGGCAGCACAGTATGTTTTTAGAAAAAGAACATGCGCTACATTGGTGTAGTTGCAGCGCAATTATGGCCCCTTAGACTAAAATAGAAACACAACCAAAATGTGTTTAAAATGTATGTACCTGCATTTTTAGTGTGTTTTTAGGTAAAAAAAAAAAAAAAGAAGGAAAATGCGTACAAAACGTGACTTGATCCGACTTTCAGTGCGATTGTGTTGTCCATCTGCAGTAGTGTGAACCTAGCCTAAAAATGTTGGTATTACATGTATAATCACATCTACTGAATCAAGCTGCATGTCAAACTGTAATAATGTAACAGGGCTAAATTTGTAACTTACCGGCCTTTTATCTGCCTGTGCAGCAGTCTATTGGAAGTCTGTTTGTGCACGGGGGTCTCCGTCACCTTCTTTGTCAACAGCTTGTGATGATCTAACAAGAGAAGTAAGGGGTTCATCTTATTTTGTCTGCATGTTTGAAGAGTCAGGACAGGATTAAAAGGAGAAATTACTCACTGACAGTTCTGCAACCAAAAAGTCATTTCTAAAGCAAGACAGGATTTACAGCTAACTGGTACTTTAATACAAGGACACCATGAAACAAATTCTCTCATCTTGTGAAAGATCACTGTTACATTTCAACTCCATGTTTTGTTCGATTTTTAATCATTTTCATTGCTCCACAGTGCCCAGTTTAATCCTTGTGACTGCAATATGCCTTCAACCCTTTCACTGCCAGAGACATTTTTGAAATTAAAAATAATAATAATAATATATATATTGTGACAGTAGGCAGGTAAAAAAAACCTGGTTGCGTCCTGGATGGATGATACATTTGTCCAAGGTTTAGGCTCTATGTGGATTTGTTCCACTAGAGGGAAGTGCTGAGCCCTTCAACAGTGAGCTAATGAGCCCAGCTGAAGGTAGTGGGCTCATTAAGGCCTCTATAAAACGTCCCAACCTGCTTAGGGATTGGCTCCATCCTGGAACCAGATCTGTGCCGGATTAGACTGGGGAGCACCATACTTATCTGAGTGCGGTGAGACAAAGGCCTGTGTGGCTAGCCTCCAACTGATAGGGACCGGGTGTAGCATAAGGCTGTACCTAGTGGATAGCTAGGGAAGCTAGAGTGGCCAAGTTGGCAAGGATTTTATTTTATGTTTCTTTTGGTTTGACGTTTTCTTGTAAATAGTGTAAATAAACCGCACCTTTTTGCTTGCACCAACACTGCTGTTTCGCTGTGCCTGTTTTGTGTTGTGAACTCACCTGGGGGGGGGGGGGGGGTCACACACACCCACTGACGAGCAAACGCGGATATATATATATAGGCTCCAAGGACATTTCCAGCAAACAACAGTTTTCATGTGTAAAATGTGTCCGAATTGACCTGCTCTTTAAGTTGTTGTTAAAGCTAAACCCAAGCCTTATGTTCCGGTCTTGCACAACCTTACAGACACCTCTCCTGTACTGAAATTGCTTACTATGGATTTCTATAAGGCTCTTAGAGTTCGAAACAGAAGCAAGTCAGATAGAGAACACCCCCTAATTTCTGACCTAGATGGAGGACATCCAGTATCATTTAACCAACATCAGACCCCGACCGCTCCAGCCCTGGCAGACTGATCACACCAAAACCCTCAAACGACACAGTCGTGCCCTGGAGCGACTATGGCGCAAAACCAAATCCCAACAAGCCTTCACCCGATACAAATCTGCCTTCCACACCTACACCTCCTTCCTCCATACTGCCAAACAAGCCTACTTCCTGACCCTCATCAAGGCCCTCTCCTCCAATCCTCGCCGACTCTTCTCCACCTTCAACTCTCTACTCTCGCCACCCCCACCTCCACCCAGCACCTCACTCACTGCCCTTGAGATTGCCAATCACTTCAAAAACAAGATTGACACAATTCGCAAGGACATTGCCGCAACTCGCACGCCTTCTCAACCCGTCCCCTCTCACACAGCTACCCCCTCATCCCCCCTCCCCCTCGACATAACCCACAGGGACTTCGTCGCTGCTCAAACTCCCTCCAACCCCCTTCCCCCTCACTCAGCTACCCCCTCTACACCCCTCTCCCACGGCCCCACCACTGCTCTGACCTCCTCTCCCACCCCACCCTACATTCCTCATACTGAAGCTCCCCCAACACTCCGCACCTTTGACCTTACTACCATCGAAGAAGTCTCCAAGATCCTCTCTGATGCCCGCCTCACCACCTGCCCCCTTGACCCTATCCCCACACAACTCCTACAACCTCCCTCCCCCTCCATCCTACGCTCCCTCACCCACATCTTCAATCTCTCCCTCTCCTCCGGCACTTTCCCTTCCCCTCTGAAACATGCACACATCACCCCCATACTTAAAAAGCCCTCCCTGGACCCCAATGACCCGAACAACCTCAGACCCATCTCCCTGCTCCCATTTACATCTAAACTCCTCGAGCGCCTAGTCTACGCCCGCCTATGCTCTCACCTCAACGACAACAACCTCCTCGATCCCCTACAGTCCGGCTTCCGTCCCCTACACTCCACCGAAACTGCCTTACTCAAACTCTCCAACGACCTGCTAACCGCCAAAGCTAATGGCCACTATTCAGTGCTCCTACTCCTTGACCTCTCTGCGGCCTTTGACACAGTCGACCACCCCCTCCTCCTCAAAAAACTACACTCCCTCGGCCTCAGAGATTCTGCTCTCTCCTGGCTCTCATCCTACCTGTCACAACGCTCTTTCAGCGTTACCTATAATGCCACCACCTCCCTCTCACTCCCCCTCTCTGTTGGGGTCCCCCAAGGCTCTGTCCTCGGGCCCCTTCTCTTCTCCATCTACACCTCCTCCCTTGGCCAACTCATACACTCTCACGGCTTCAACTACCACCTCTATGCCGACGACACACAAATCTATCTCTCAACCCCCCACCTCACCCCCTCGGTCTCCGCCCGAATCACACACCTGTTGAGCGACATATCAGACTGGATGTCGCTCCACTTCCTTAAACTGAACCTCTCCAAAACAGAGTTTCTTGTCTTCCCTCCAGCCCGGACACCACCCCCCATTGACTTCTCCATCATGTCCAACAACGCCACCATCAAACCCGCCCCGCAGGCCAGAGTACTTGGTGTCATTTTGGACTCCAACCTATCCTTCCAGCCCCAAGTCCACTCTTTAACAAACTCATGCAGACTCCACCTCCGCAACATCGCCAAAATCCGCACGTTCCTAACTCCAGAAACCACTAAACAGCTCATCCACTCCCTCATCATATCGCGACTCGACTACTGCAACTCCCTCCTCACTGGCCTGCCTCGCCGCTGGCTATCCCCGCTTCAGTCCATCCTGAATACGGCTGCCAGACTCATTCACCTTTCCAACCGCTCCGTTTCCGCCACCCCCTCTGCCAATCCCTCCACTGGCTTCCGATTGCGCAACGGATCAAATTCAAAATCCTAACACTGACGTACAAAGCTGTCCACCATACTGCCCCGAACTACATCACTGACCTAATATCCAAGTACCGCCCAGCACGCACACTCCGCTCCTCACAAGACCTCCTTCTCTCTAGTTCCCTGGTCTCCTCCTCCCATGCCCGCCTCCAGGACTTCTCCAGGGTGTCACCCATCCTCTGGAACTCCCTGCCCCAACCCATCAGATTATCACCTACTCTCCTCTCCTTTAGGCGCACCCTGAAAACCCATCTCTTCAGGGAAGCCTACCCCGCCCCCTGCTAACTTGCCGACCTCCTCCACTCTTCCTACCACTCCATCCCCCACAGCTATCTCCTCCTGTGCCACCATCCCCTCCCTCCTAGATTGTAAGCTTGAAAGAGCAGGGCCCTCGATCCCCTCATGTTTTGCATTGTATTGGTATTGTTCTGTCACATGTTCTGTCCCCCTTTGTAATGTACAGCGCTGAGCGAACTATTGGCGCTTTATAAATACTGAATAATAATAATAATAATAATAATAACCTTTAGTCTCCCAAGTCTCACTGTCCCTGGTCCTCCCCTATCATTTATTGGATTTGAGTTGTTTTAATCATGGAGGCACAGCATCACATGTGGGCACTACTTCAGTTCCTGTTTTCACAAAGTGATTGACTGCACTATGCTGACCTCTCCCACTGCCTGCACTGCATAAAGAAGCACAATGACTTAGTGATGATGTCGCCAGGGATTAAATACATTATGTAATGATATAGATAGGTTCCATACAATAATTTCATCAGCATGTTGTTGGGGGGGTGCATGCAATCAGGAGAAGCAAAACATAAGGAGAAAAACTTCAACTTCACCCACTTGTCGACCACTGACGTTAACAGTACATCACATGGACTTTGAGTGGGTATACTGGGATGATGCCTGTATTCCAGTATTTTTTTTTTCCAGCCAGGTGGTGGCTTTCTTGTAAAAGCAATCCTGGCAGCTAATTAGTCACTAGATTGCTTTCACAAGCAACAGTGTGCAGCTGGCAGTTTTGCTGGTTGACCATAGAGTAGATCATCTCTATGGTCTGAGAAACTGGAAGTGACTAGCATTTCATCACTTTCAGTTTCGCCGGTAGTAAACAAACCATTAGTGGGTTTGTTATGATCTGAAGCTTTTAAGGGCAGAAGAGATATCCTGGGTCTAACAGATTATTATATTATTATAATACAGTATTTATAAAGCGCCAATAGTTCGCTGAGCGCTGTACATTACAAAGGGGGACAGAACATGTACAGAACAGTAACAATACAATGCAAAACATGGGGGATCGAGGGCCCTGCTCTTTCGAGCTTACAATCTAGGAGATCCCAGATCTCTCAGTAAAAAGAGTACCTGTCACTGCCTATTGCTATTACATGAGATATTTATACCGTATTTTTCGCCGTATAAGACGCACTTTTTCTTCCCCAAAACTGGGGGGGGAAGTTGGTGCGTCTTATACGACGAATAGAGAGAGAATCCGTGAGGCGCAGCCACGGCCGTAGGAAAGGCCGCGGCTTTGGCCTATCTCTGGAGCGGTCGGCCATCTTAGTACACCCGGCGGTGCGCGCTGACGTCATCACCCCCTCTGCTCGTGGATCAGCAATGGGCAAACTACGGCCCGCGGGCCGTATACGGCCCAGCGGACCTTTTAATCCGGCCCGCGGAGCGTGGCAAACATTGGCTGTCAGGATGTAGGCGGGGCAGCGTGACAAACTCCTCTCCTCTCACAGTCCGCCCTGAAGACCGGAACGGCGCGGGAACACGGCGAGAGGAACGCGCGGAGCAAAGGTAAGTGAATTGACACAATATGGGGAATGAATTACTATAGGGGGGATGAATTACTCTATGGGGGATGAATTACTATATGTATTGGGTTCAGAATCTTTTTTTTCTAGATTTTCCTCCTTTAAAATTGGGTGCGTCTTATATTCCGGAGCGTCTTATATGGCGAAAAATACGGTATTCCCTGTGATTACAATCAAAGATTAAAAAAAAAAAAAAAAAAAAAAAAAAATTTACAAAAAAGGAAAGTGTAAAAATAATAAATACATTTTTAAGTGCCCCTGTCCCCCACGTGAAAAGGCAAACACATCAAGCATGCATGCATAAGTGAACAGCATTTGTGAAGCATCACTGCGAATGTCAGATTGAGTGCAATAATTCTAGGGCCAGACCCCCTTTGTAAATCTAAGGTGGTAACCGGTAAATCTGTGTGGGGTCAAAGTAATTTCTAGCAAAAAATACAGATTTTTCACACGTAAACTAAAAGTGTCAGAAAAGGCCTGGTCTTAAGGTGGCAGAATCCTTACATACAATTAAAGCAAATGACACTTGAAATGACTGGAAAAGTAAAAATTCCATTCCCTGTGAAAAATTACTGCTTGTTTTATAGCTGCATTCATATGACGTTTATGTCTGTTTCACATATAATTTATAATTTTTACCTCTAGTGCCATCGTGAGTCTTGCTCCGTTTATGCTTCAAGCCTTCTACTGCAGATACAGATTGGCTCCTCTGCATCTTATTGCTTCTTCTTGTAGGTGAGCGGTTCTCTTGGACAAACAGATTCCTTCTCGCTTTTGTGGCTTTTAAAAGAAAAACGGATTAAGGTCATGTCAGATCCAGCAAGGGCCTGGCCAAAATACTCCCAATGTTTACATTTTTAAGTCCTGGCTTATCTTCAGGACACAGGAGTCATTGGGCTCTCACCCCCAGCTTTGCAGGAGTGAGCGCACGTTCGGATTTAAATGCTGCTTATCACAGTGTGGTATCTCCTGTCGCAGGAAAGTCTCTAGTCAATCATCTCCATGAGCATTCTCACACTACTGTAGCCCCTTCCATCTCACACTGTGCGGCAACAAAATGGTCCACCAAGTCCCTTTCTTTCATGGTAACTAAAAAACATGATCACTTTAGTTGTCTTCATAGAAGGTGGCTCAGCAGCCATCTTGTTTTAGTCCATGTCCTGGACATAAGTCAGGATTTATAAAAGTAACCAACGGGAGTATTTCAGTTCAGTTTCAATCTGTGCTTTTAATTGCCTCCACCACTACCCCTGTTTGTTACCGCCTGGTGCAGCTATATCACATGAAGAACAGTCATTTGGTGCACAAGAGCTCCCCTGCTTCCAGTATCATACATATCTAGCTTCAAAATTCTATTAGAGACCTCTGCAGCGCAGCAGTTGTTTTGAGGTAAACTTACATTTTCTAGCTAGAAATAAAAGGTAATCATAAAAAAAGGAAATACATGATTACAAATGTTTTCGTAAAAGTATACTCCAGTCAAAGTCATTAAGCCTTGAAATACATACAGGCAATGTCATCTACCTAAAGTAAGAGTGCATAATTACCCTAAGGTAAATAAAACCAGCATAGAATCCATAGTAGGAATGGAACTTCATCCAAATGGCCTTCTCTGAATACTTCCCACAGACCTTTACGAATCTGTCTACACCACACCGACAGCCCAAGAGCAGCTCAGCGACTGACAGACAGCCCGAGAGCAGCTCAGCGACTAAGAAGTCTGTCAGTCGCTGAGCTGCTCTCGGGCTGTCGGTGTGGTGTAGACAGATTCGTAAAGGTCTGTGGGAAGTATTCAGAGAAGGCCACTTGGATGAAGTTCCATTCCTACTATGGATTCTATGCTGGTTTTATTTACCTTAGGGTAATTATGCACTCTTACTTTATTGTGTGCAGTGGATTTATATTTACTTTTATTTAGATTTATATTTTTCACGATTGTTGTGGCACTCAAGTTTTTTGCATGCAACACGCGTGGCACATTTATGAGATCGTAAGATAACACACTATGTTGAGGTTTTATTCTGTTTGAGGTATATGAAGAATATCTGGAATCCATCATCGACTCTTTTGAGGATCCGAGCCTTTTGGATTTGTTTCAAGTATTTTGGACTCTATTTTTGGACTTTGTTTTGACTGTATTTATTTATTCAAGTCTGCTATATTAATTATTTGCTTTTCCTTCGGGGGAAGGATTGTTAAGTGACTTGGTTGGGTATTATATTGGTGGGTGTATGCTGTCTCATTGCTATTTAATTTTTTTGTAATGTCATCTACCTACTACAAGCATTAAAAGAGAAGAATGGACTTAAAATCCATTCCAATGCCCCACCTGTCCCTGCCGCCTCTGCAGTGAGAACTGAACGATCAAACAAGGCTGAAACGCATCAGTGGGTGTGGCTGAAGCAGCGCTGGCTGAGGCCACACACTCTAAGTACCATGTCAGTTTGAACGGTGTCTTTTGAATGTCAAACAGCTGTAGTAATTACCAGGCTACACAAGTAGCTCATTAATGGTTTGATGTGTTGCCTTGGGTTATTCTGTATATATTATGAATAAAGCAATGGATTTCTATGTCAGTTATATTTATGCATCTACGCAGTATGTAGAATAGGTGCCATATTCATAAAAGCTTACGATGCTTTTAAAGCATTATATAAAAGGGCACCATACCTTCAGCTTCTTTAAGTGGCTGTGCTGACAGTGGTAACTTTAACTTCTTCACCATTATAACAGGATTGAGATTAGTGGTCTCCTAAAAATGAAGCAAAAAGTGAGAGGATTAAATTAGGCCACAATAGGGAACGATGGATGGATGACAGACGGAGGATCATGATAGCAAGCAAGCAGGACAAATAAAAACCAGATATTGCAGAATGGAGGCTACCAAATGCAAAGCAGTTCTTTTATAGCAGGGCTTGACAAATTTGCTTTGAATCTAGCAGCCAGCTAAAAAAGTTAGGAGCCAGTTTTTTTTTTTTTTTAACCAACAAAGCTTTATATTCGATTTAAATAACAGATCTTAATCTGTTCAGAGTATAAAATGGCAGAAAAAAAATAAAAGCTATAAATTACTTATACTTACCCTGATGTTCCCATGAGGCAGGCAATTATAAGCCATTTATGGCTTTTACAGCATCCTCCCCCTGTACTGGTCCAGGACTGGTAACTGTTATACCTCATCTGTGACAGATGGGGGAGTCTGTACGTGAGTGTGAGTGTACGTGTGCACGTGTGTGGTGCATATCCCAATGTAGGAGAGGTAGGATGTGGTAAGGGGCCAGTAGATGATTATGCCCTCCAGTGGATGTCCTCCACAGAGCACTACTTCCAGACTCTCACACTTCCTCCTTCCAGCCACCCAGTGTGAGCCCTGACCTCCCTAATACACATACACAGCTGTTCCCTCCAGGATCATGCAGTGTGTGGCTACCATGGAGTGCCCCGACTCTTCCATGGCACTGCCGGACTATTTTCAATCAGTTCAGAGCTCTCCCCCCTCCCCACATTACAGTACCTTCCCTGACTTTACCTGAAGTGGAGCGAGTCCTTCAGACACTCCTCAAGGTCCACCGTCACCTTCATGTCTCCAGCCTCCCTGACATTCCGTGAGCTATGCGAGGACAGAGCAGGCACACAGCCGGACAAGAAGGTAACCGAGGATGCTATGCAGTGCTGTGTACATGGCCAGGCTCCGCTCTCCCTAAACCCTGACACAGCCAGCCTTCCAATCAGGCACTAAGATAGAACCCCGCCCCAACACACCCTTTCACCATCACATCCTGCAGAGGGACGGTTGTGGCAACCAATAGGTATGCAGCAAGGGCACAGGATTGTGAGCTGGAGGGGCAAGCCTGGAAGCCCAGGACAACAGGGAAATGGGATGAGTCACCCTGGAGGAAAGGCAGGAGGAGGAGAGAGGAGGCAGGGAAAAAAATAGTGCGAGGGGGAGAGTACCGGCTACCTGAACCCCCCCATCCCCTTTGCCAACACTGCACAAGTGTGAACCCAAGATAAATGGGCTGGCAAAAGCCACATTCTGTGTGTCCTATAGACACAGAGAGACGGTTTGGGAGTGAGCATGAAGGAGTGCCCCCAGAGCAAGCTCGGCAAGGGGAAGGTGCCAGAAGCACCAGCAGAGGACCCAAAAAGAGGAAGATTGGGGCTGCTCTATGCAAAACCATTACACAAAGCAGGTACATATGATGTGTTTATGATTAAAAAAAGAAAAAAAAAAATCAAACCTTTAGAACGACTTTAAATTTACGATATCAGAAATTCAGACTTGCCCTGCATTCTCTACACACCTCAGAGTGTAATTAGTTCTCCTAGTTCCTAATGTAGAGAGGAGGCAATGGGAAGGTTTGAAAAGCTCAGCAAGAAAGACAACTGGGATGGTTGACATCAATAATCCCACAGTTGTTTGTAATCAAACTACAACAGGGCTTATGACGTGGGTGCATTTCTGGCAGACCGACAGGTAATGTTCTGCACTTGCAGAGTCTCTAAGGAAATAAAATATGGAAAAATGAACATGTACTGCAGACATGTACTGCATGTTTTTTCTCTCCTTAATTTTGCCCTAACATACACTCTTTATGGTAACATTAAGAAGGCTTTTTAAGTGAATGAATAAACTATGTGTGTTATTTTATTATGTATGAGTGCTGTTCCTTCCTGCTGCAGCATACAAACCATGTATTAGTATATAAACATTTGTTATATTGCTGTAGTCTCCAGTCTTGTGGAACACAAAACATGCAATATAAAAATACCAAATAGAGACTCCTTGAGGTTGATTTACTAGAACTGGAGAGTACAAAATCTCGTGCAGCTGTGCATATAAATCAGATTCCAGTTTTTCTTTTTTTTTTTTGCCAAAGCTTAAAAACGGAGCTCCAGTCGAAAAAAAAAAAAAAAAAAAAGTCAGCAGCTACAAAAAAAACTTTAGCTGCTGACTTTTTTTTTTTTCAAAAAAAAAACAGCTACTCACCTTTCCCACGATCCAGCAGTGTACTCACTGCAGCCGGTTTCACTGCCCGGTGCCAGGATCCTAAGTGTGGGCACCCAGCTGTGACAGCTTGCAGCTTCACAGCTGGTTGCCCACTTCACATATGCAAGCAGTGCTGCACCTTGTGAATGGTCCCGTAGTCTTCTGGGACCTGTCACGTGTCCCAGAAAACTGCAGGGAGAGAGAGCGAGGACAACTTCTGCTTCCGATCACCTAACTGGTCGCAGCAGAAGTGGGAGCGGGTACCTGTCAAAATTTAATACCCCACTGCCCCCTGCTCCCCAAAGGTGCCAATTCCTCACAGGAAGCAGGGGACCAATACTTAAAGTGGAACTTCCCCTGTTGAGTGGAGCTCTGCTTTAATGGTACAAGCTGAAATTAGAAGCTGACTGGCACCCATGCTCAGCTGCACCAAATTTTGCACTCTCCAGTTTTAGAAAAAACAACTCCCATAAGCCTGTCTTCTTATCCGGATCCATGTAAAAATCTTGGAAACCCTCTATGTGAAATGGCTATACTTTGTAGATCCTAACTCCATATTACAGCTGTGACAGCAGTTCCTACCTTGTTCGTTTGCTTCTTGGGAATTTCAATTTGCCTCAGAGTTTGGGATGACTCTGCTATACTTCTGTGCCGTGCCAGAGTGCTTGTCCTTTGAAGAAAAAGACATGAGAGCTACATCATAAAAGTAAAATGAAAATGTAAAACCTAGATATGAACCAAAAACAGGAACAAACCTCCTTTTCTTCGCTGATCTGGTTCGAAGCTCTTCAAGCTGATCTTCCTCATTAGCTATTTGAGGCACGCTTGGAACCCTGGAAATGGATGGCTGAGAATACATGGGTGTTTTCCCTTCACGTATGAAGGAGTCATCTCCATCTGAAGGAAGAACTAATGCCAACTCCTCAGGGATCTGGGTTCCAAGACTAAAATATAAGTCTGACAGGATTTTGGGAATGCTTCCTATGTACCTGCAAAAAATGGAAGACATTTGGGCAATTAAATCAGTTGAAACAATGTATACTTGCTGCACTCAACACCCAGGCATACAGTATGAACCTTAAAGCTGAACGCCAAATAAACAGCTGAATATTGGATTGTTTCTACATACCTGTAATATCCATTTCTTGGAGTACATCACAGGATACAGAGCAGGCTATAATAATGTGGAATAGGACTATAGATGGACACTGGCAGATCAGTCAAACAGGAAATCCTCCCCTATAACCCATTACACAGGAAGTACTTCAGTTTTTTTTTCGAGTGTCTGTAAGGTGGATGGTCGCTGATGTGCTGCATTTGCTCTTGGAGCATACCTGTAGGTCCGAAACAATTCCTCTGTGAATCAAAGACTGAAATTGAATCCATTCGGAAGCTCTTCGCTAAAATGGATGGTACCCGAGCCTCGTTGAATAGCAGAGAAGAATCCTTGAGGTTCACTGCTGTAATGCATCCTTACAGCACTGGGCCCTGTGTAACAGAACCCTGGCAAGTGTTTTTTGTGACCAAGGTGCTATCCAGCAGGGTGCTATACAGATCCAAGGGGGTGGACCCCAGATGTAAAGGGCACCAAGTCCTTGAACATCTTTTATGACAGAGCCTGCCGTGAAGGGTGAAGGTTTGACTACTGTCATGATTCAGAGTCCTGCGGCGGGAATGGTAACTTTACATTTGTAGTGTTTCTTTAAAAATCTGACTGACGGTACATTCTCTCAGTGACTGCTGGGGGCAGTGTGCTGTTTGGTCTGACCAGGCAATACTCTGTGTCTCTGGAGTATTGGGCTGCAGTTTTCTCCTCCAGCCACTAGAGGCTTTGGGGCCGCTCTGTATAGCCTACTCTTGTTCAGCGGAGGCAGGCAGTAGAGAGACGGACATTTTGGCTTCTGGTTGAAGCCGCATGTGGGCTGAAGGCTCAGTGAGGCTCCTGAGAGATGGCAGGGACATGGAGCAGTCTATGGCTGGATAATGATATGTGAGAACTAACTGTGGGGGAGCTGCATGACCAGACAGGGCATGATTATACACTGCATTAGTCTGCATAATCCTGGGGGGCTTGTACAACTGTTTTCTGATACACCCCTGCACGGGTATCCGTGCGCTTATAGTTTTTGGTCCAGAATAGCTAGCATTTGATCTGCAGGAGCTAACATTTAGACTGCCCTGAAGCTTTTAGTAGCAAACAATGAAATTCCAGAAAGACGGGAAGGATCTTTCTGTTCCACGATGTACTCCAAGAAATGAATTTTACAAGTAAGTAGGTAGAAAAAAAATTAAATTTTCTTTATCGTACATCATGGAACACAGAGCAGGCTATAAGAATAATAATAATGTAAAATGTCCCAAAGCAATAAAAATCTGAAGGGTGGGTGACACCATAATAACCACCGCCATCAATCCCAAACACCTACTCAGCCGATTGTAATACGCTGTGCCAAAGACAGCTCCCTCCGTGGCTCTGACATCCACCTGATAAAATCTTGTGAAAGTATGAACTGAAGACCATGTAGTGGCCTTGAAAACCTGAGCAACTGACACCTGATGGCGGGTGGGCCAAGATGCCCCCACACTCCTGGTAGAGTGCGCTCCCACCCGAAAGGGTGGGACCTTGACCTTTCAAACCATATGCTTGAATAATTAACTGGAGGATCCAATAAGAAATGGTTGACATGGATACCGCCTGTCCTTCCTGGGCCCTTCTGGCAGCACAAACCAGGATTCCTGACCTGTGCCGCCAAACTCAAGTAAATTCTGACCACCCAAACTACATTCAGAGTATGCAACAATCTTTTCCCTGCAGACTGAGCACTAGGAAGAAAAGAAGGCAAGACACTGTCCTGATTCAAGTGAAAACTAGAAACCACTCTTAGCAAGAAAGATGAATGCGGACGCAACATCACCTTATCATGATGCAATATCAAGAACGGTTCCTAACATGAAAGGGCCGCCAGCTCTGATACTCTTGTTGCTGAAGTTATAATAATCAAAGAACCCACCTTCCGAATCAAAGGACTGACAGAGTCTTTGGTTCAAAAGGTGGCTCCTGCAAGGGCAGCCCAGACCATGTTCAAGTCCCAAGGATACAAGGGTGGCCTCACAGATGGGACCGTCTGCATTACACCCTGCATGAAGTACAAATGGTCTCTGGGGAAAAAAAAATTGATAGCGCTGAAATAGGGCCCTTAAATGGTACTTGACCAATTCCCCCCGTGAATGGAGAAAGAATGAAAAAATGTCCCATTCACACATCTCCATAGATGCAACTTCCTGGGTTCCCACAGGCTAACAAGATTTCCAGGTCCTGAAATGAAATCTCCCTCCTGAGCCAGCCAGTTTCCTGGTGCTCAACAGTGCAGAGATAATTGGACCCAAGACCCCCTGATCCTTCCAGGTCTAGGCTTCAATAGCCAAGCCTTCAATCCTAATGCGAGACACATTATTGCACCCAAGACAACAGGTCTGTGTGGACTGGAAGTATCCAAGAGCATTCACGGTCAGAATCACTATGTCGATGTACCAAGCCCTTCCTGGGCCAGGCCGGGCTACCACTATTATCAGTGTTACCTCCTCCCAGACCCTGCTCAAAAAAACACAGCAATAGTTGAATCTGGGAAGGCATTGATTTGGGGGAGAACTGGTCCTTAAAAGGTGTTACCAGTGCCTTTACCTTTATTGCCAGTGGGACTCTCGACCTGGACACAACCTGTCCAACTTGCTGTAGAACCTAGAAGCCAGTAGAACCACATCTAGAGTTACTCAATGCTGGCAGGCTGCTGAGATCGTCTTGGGATGCAGGGACCACTCTCTCTGTATTAGCTGCTGACGACTGGGGAAAAAAACCCCAAGACAGTTTTCTATACCTGGAACATGTACTGACGACAGACGGCATATGCTGTACTGCCCCAGACATAAGGTGGTTCACCTTTTCCTGAGCCACACAATTATTAGTGCAGCCCTGGTGGTTGATATACGCCACTGCCGTGGTATTGTCAGACGGAAGGCTGACCACAACCTTTGCAACGATACATAGAAAGGTGTACTGCCCAAAGCGCCAAGATATTGATGGGCAGTATTCTCTCCTGTGGAGACCAAGTCCCCTGAACTGTAGCCACTTCCAAACAGCCCCCAACCGGAGAGACTGGCATCGATGATTACTATCTTCCATATCCCTGGAAGGTAAATTATGCCTTCTCCAGATTCTGAACCACCACCAATTCGGACTCTGCAATACACTGGGGGACAAAGCCCTCCGGCAATCCAAAGAATGGATCTTCATAATCCAGACAAACAGAATGTTCCTCTGAAGAAGTGAAACTGCACGAAGAGAACCTCTTCAGCATAGATACCATTTCCTCATGCAAAGACAAATCGAAGGATACCTTTTGCTTCTTATATATCACTTTAAACTTGGAACCAACTGCTCCCTTAGCAAAGGAACATTAACCACTTGCCTACAGGGTACTTATACCCCCTTTTCTGCCCAGACCAATTTTCAGCTTTTAGTGCTGTCGCACTTTGAATGACAATTGCGCAGTCATGCAACTATGTACCCATATGACATTTTTATAATTTTTTTTCACACAAATAGAGCTTTCTTTTGGTGATATTTAATTGCCGCTGGGTGTTTTATTTTTTGCGCTATAAACAAAAAAAATAAATAAATAGTTTTTTTTTGTATCTATTATAAAATTTACAAGTAATTTTTATCCTTCACTGATGTGCGTTGATGAGGCGGCACAGACGGGCAGCGTTGATGAGGCGGCACAGACGGGCGTTGATGAGCGTTGATGAGGCGGCACTGATGAGACGGCACAGACGGGCAGCACTGATGAGGCGGCACAGACGGGCAGCACTGATGAGGCGGCACACGGGACGGGCACAGACGGGCAGCACTGATGAGGCGGCACAGACGGGCAGCACTGATGAGGCGGCACAGACGGGCAGCACTGATGAGGCGGCACAGCACTGATGGGCAGACGGGCATCACTGATATGCAACAATGCTGGGCACTGACAGGCGGCAATGTTGGGCACTGACAGGTGGCACAGGTGGGTGGCACTGCTGGGCACAGATCACGACGACACCAGAAATCTCTCTCGCAGAGAGGCCACCACTGATTGGACTGATCCCATCCAGAACAGAAGGATCCAGACTTATGTCTAATGCTTTGAAATCTAAGATAGACCTCACATCTGTTTGGTTTTGGGCCCGCGAACCTTCTGTTCCAAGAGAAAATGCAAGGCAAAAGCCTGATAACTGCGATAGACCAAAAAGGTCCCAGGAAGCATACTTAACCTATTAGGTTTCTGCTCCTAAAGCAAATCACCTCAGAGACTAACCTAGCACCCTCTGCCCAAGATACTTCTCAAAACACAGCAGCCTCAGACTCAGAGGGAAGAAAAAAAGAAAAAGAAAAAAAAAAAAAAAAAAACACACACCTTACAGCACCTGGTATTCCAAAGCAGTCTCCCATTCAAGTAATACCCAGGGCTGACCCTGCTTAGCTTCCGAGTTCATAAATATACATGAACATATGCAGGCTATGCAAGTATACAGTCCAAATAATTATGCAGATATGCATGCGATAATGTAATACAATGCTGCATCTGCCCCGCTTTCTAGAAGCGTATTGTTTCATCAAAGAACTGTGTCTAAACTAACTGTACTTGGCCCCATACTAGTTTTGTAAGGCTAGCCAAGCACACAAGCATCAAACGCAGCCTGAATGAAGCCCCTCTACTGCTTCAGGGCAGTCTAAATGCAAGTTCCTGCAGATCAAATGCAAGCTACTCTGGACCAACAACTATGAGAGCACGGATACCCATGAGTCACTGGGAAAATAACCAGTCAGATTTTCAAAGAAACACTGAAAATGTAAAATTTACCGTTCCCGCCGCAGGACTCTGAATCATGGCAGTAGTCAAACCTTCACCCTTCACGGCAGGCTCTCTCATAAAAGATGTTCAAGGACTTGGTCCCCTTTACATCTGGGTTCCACCCCCTTGGACCTGTATAGCACCCTGCTGGAAAGCACCTTGGTCACAACAAACACTGCACAGGGTTCCGTTACACAGGGTCCAGTGCTGTAAGGATGCGCATCTCAAGGATCCTTCTCTGCTATTCAATGAGGCTCGGGTACCATTCATTTTAGTGAAGAGCTTTCCAAATGGATTCAATTTCAGTCTTTGATTCACAGAGGAACTGTTCTGGACCTACAGGCATGCTCCAAGAGCACATGCAGCACATCAGCGACCATCCACCTTACAGACACTCGCACAAAAACGGAAGTACTTCCTGTGTAGGAGGGGTTATACAGGGGAGGACTTCCTGTTTGATTGATATGCCAGTGTCACCAACAGGTGGCGAATACCCCCAAAGTCAGTATTATATCCTGCTCTCCCATGATTCCGTGTCCCGTGATGTATGATAAAGAAATGCATATATAAACGGTTTTTATATGCCAAAGAATTTGTATATCAGTCTAGCAAATTTAGCGGTCAACCACTCCCAAATAACAGAAAAAGGGGTGTTCACTTCTGGTTGTGCTATGAGTTAAGAAATTCCATGGTGTCCTCTTGTCACCTCATTGACTGCTGATTGGATAATGAAGGAGCAGCAGCACACTAATAAGTCAACAACTCTGCTCAATCCTCCTGTAAGAACATGTGCATGAAGTCTGATTGGCTTCTAGTGCTGTCCCTTCCTCCTCCACTCTCAGGGGCTCATTTATAATGGAGAGCGGATATCACCATCTGTTCTTCATTATACTTGGCTAGGGGACATACACTGCAGTCTGCATTTGCAGCCCATTCATTAAAAACAAAACAGTGGCGTAGAGCCAGTAATATTTCAGAGCTCTGTCTGCCTAAAGGATAACTTCACCATTAATAAAAACAAATAATTTTTAAAAACACAGGTAAAAAAAAAAAATGTGCATTTACGATTTTTCTTAGGAGCCTGTAAATTGGTGCACCCTCAATCAGATCACAGGTGCACTGTCAGGCACTTGCAGACTATCAGGGTAGGTGTATGCCCAGGAAGCTCAATGGATGACGAGGAAGCTCCAGAACGCTCAATGGGTGGTGAAATCAGGGGAGCTCTACAGAAGTGGGAACATGCTCAAACTTAAAAACAGGCAGAACACGTAACATGTTCCCAAAAGGTGAACGTATCCTTTAACTGTCCAACAAAACACACAAGCAGCTGGTCTTGCTCATCTGGCACAGCCAAAAGATTGTGAATGAACGTCACTGGTTGCATAACCCTTCATAAACAAGGCTAGGTTTCAAAAAAACATAAAAAGTACATACTCTGCCAGGACAGTTGCCAGAAATTTTGTCAGGAAGGATGGATCTTCAGTCAGAGAAATAATCCTCAGCATGTCAGTTACCTGAAATATAAAAAACTAAGGTGATAAATGAACGCTATACAAGTACCTGAAGTAAATAAACAATAGTGTACCAATGTAACAAGTGTGTAAATGGTTTTGAACACAGCAGCCTTGATCCTCTACTTGGGTCCCCCACCTGCGCTCCTGGCACCTCCCCCTGAGTGCACCCAGAGCAAGCTGCTTGCTCTGGGTGCACTACCGCATGCTCGCTCCCGAGCTGGTCCTGTATGTCCCATAAGATATGCAAAGTGCGGCTTGGTCCTGCTACTGCTCCCTCCTCACTGGTTGTGATTGACAGCAGCAGGGGCCAACGGCTCCCGCTGCTGTGTCTCAGCCAATGAGAAGAGAGACCCAGAAGAGTCATGCACTGAATCACAATCAGGCAAGTATTGGGGGGAGCTGCACACTGAAGATTTTTTTTACCTTCATGCATAAAATGCATGAAAGTAAAACACCTCCAGCCTTTAGAACCACTTTAAGAAATGCAGGTAATGTACAAATTAACAGAATTTAAAAAAAAAAACAAAAAAAAAAAAAAAAAACAGATACTTGCCTCTTCAACAACTTGCTCTAGTTCATCCTCGTTAGCCTGTATTGAAGGGCACTGTACACACATTTCCATTCTGAGCAGAGCTTGAATCTGACATCTAAAACAGAAACATCACAAAGTCACAAGAATAGTAAATCTGTGTTTTATAAGAAAAAAAAAATGCAACACAAGATGGACATACTCTCGCAGCTTGGCTCCTTTGTCAGGATTCTGTCCATAAAGCTGACGGATCATTTTGCTGGACTTCAAGAGAAGCCTGATTTTATCTACACAGTCAGACTGGAACACAGAAAGAAAACAAATTTACTCTAACATTGCCTTAACATTCAAATGAAGATTATATAGCAAGCATAATGTATCCTTTACCTCTACTTCTTTGCTGCCGACTGTTTTTAAGTAAGATTTAATGGCAATGAAGGCATTCCTGGCACATGACAGCAACAAAGTATCTTCCCCAGAAACTGCTTTTTCATAATCTTCTTTTAAAAATGAAATCAATTCATCTTCTGACTTAAAACCTGTGAAATAATTTAAACAGTTTTCCAATTCAATATTATTACAGAAAGCCAAATATTATCTACTGACCTCATAGCAAACTTTTTTTTTGCAAGGCCAGGAAAAAAGTAGCAGATGGAATGTTGGAAGTTGATGGAAATTCCTGCACAGAGTTTAGTTCTGCATTTTCAGTGCCTATAAACTGACAGAACTTTGATATGCTAATCTTGACTTTTGAGATGCATTCCGAAGGTTTTTTACCGTAATGCAGCGAATGCATTAAGGTCAAAACCTTCGGCTTTTAGAACCACTTTAAAGTGGAGTTCCACCTGTAAAAAATAAATAGAAAAAAGTCAGCAGCTACAAAAACTGTAGCTGCTGACTTTTAAAATACAGACACTTACCTGTCCCTCGGTCCAGCGGTGTCATCACCACCGCTGATTTCACCGGCCATCTTCTGGGCACCCGGCTGTGGACAGCTTGCGGCTTCACAGCCTGGGTGCCACTGCGCATGCACAGGAAGTGCTGCACTTTGTGAATGGCCCCCTAGTCTTTTGGGACCTTGTCACGTGTAACTGCCAGAAGATAAGGAGAGAGAGAGAGGAGAAGGGGGGAAGAGAGGGGGGGAGAGAGAGAGAAAAGGGGGGGGAGAGAAAAAGGGCGGGGAGTGATAAGGGGGGGGGAGAGAGAGAGTCGTGAGGGAAGGGGGGGGGTGGAGAGGAGGGGGGGGAGGGAAAGGGGTGAAAGGGGGAGGAGAGAGGAGAGAGAGAGAAGGGGGGTGGATTGTGGGGGGGAGAGATGGCAGAGTTGAGGGATGGGAGGGGGAGAGAGAAGTGAGAAGGGGGGGGGGGAAAGAGCTATAAGGGGGGGGGGAAGAAGAGAGAAGGGGGGGGGGGGAAGAGAGAAGGGGGGGGGCAAGAGAGAAGGGGGGGGGGAGAGAGAGGGGGGGGGGGGAAGAGAGAAGGGGGGGGGGAGAGGAGAGAAGGGGGGGGAGAGAGAGAGAAGGGGGGGGAGAGAGGAGAGAGAGAAGGGGGGGGTGTGAGAGAGAAGGGGGGGAAGGAGAGAGAAGGGGGGGAGGATGAGAGAAGGGGGGGGGGTGAGAGAAGGGGAACCCCCCCCCCCCCCCCCCCCAGATGGGTGGAGAGGCAGAGAAGGGGGGGGTGTGGAGAGAGAGTAGTGGGGGGGGAGGGTCGAGAGAGAAGGGGGGGGGGAAAGAGAGAGAAGGGGGGGGGAGATGAGAGAAGGGGGGGAGAGAGAGAAGGGGAGGGGGGAGAGAGAAGGGGGGGGGCGAGAGGGGGGAGAGAGAAGGGGAGGGTGAGAGTGAAGTGGGGGGAAAGAGAGAGAAGGGGGAGACGTGAGAGGGGGGGATGGGAGTTGAAGAGAGAAGGGGGGGGGGAGAGAAAAGGGGGGGGGGGGCTAGAAGAAGGGAGGGGGGGGTGAAGAGAGAGAGAAGGTGGGAGAGGGGGAGAGATGGGCAGAGAAGAGGGTGTTGGGAGGGGGATGGTGATGGCGCGGGGGGGACGTAGGATTGTGTGAAGGGGGAGAGAGAGAGAGAGAGGGAAGGGGAGGGAGGGGGGGGAGAGATTGGCAGAGGAGAGGCGATGGGAGGGGGATGGTAGAAGGGGGGGGGGGGGAGGGGGGAGAGTTGAAGGGGGGGGGGAGTGAGAGTAGAAGGGGGGGGGTGGTTGGAGAGAATGGTTTGGGGGGAGGAGAGTGATGGGGGGGGGACGTCGAGATCGAAGGGGGGGGAGAGAGAGAAGGGGGGGGGAGAGAGAGAGGGGGGGAGAGAGAGAATGGGGTGGCAGAGAGAGATGAGAAGGGGGTGGGAGAGAGAGAGAAGGGGGGGGGGGAGGGGGGGTGAGAGAGAAGGGGGGGGGGAGAGTGAGAGAGAGTGGGGGGGGGAGTGAGAGGAAGGGGGGGGGAGAGAGAGGGGGGGGGAGGAAGGGGGGGAGAGGAGAAGGGGGGGATGAGAGTAAGGGGGGGAGTGAGATGAGAAGGGGGGGAGAGAGAGAAGGGGGGGGATGAGAGAAGGGGGGGGAGGAGAGAAGGGGGGGAGACGAGAGAAAAAGGGGGGGAAGTGAGAGATGTAAGGGGTGTGAGTGAAGAGGGGGGGGAGAGAGAGGGGGGGAGAGAAAGGGGGAGAGTGAAGGGGGGGTGAGAGAGAAGGAGAGGGAGAGAGAGAAGGGGGGGAGAGAAAGAAGGGGGGGGGAGGGAGGAGGGAAAAACTGTTTGATCGCCTAGCCTTCCCCAAAAGTGCCAATCATTAATGGGGAGCGGGTGATGAGAGGCTAAAGCTCTACTTTCCCTTTTGGGTAGAGCTCCTCTAAGTTAAAGTCGGAATAATGGATTCAGATGGGTAGACAAAACTTATTGCACCATAGGTCACATTCTGGTTATAACCACTATTGAAGTCCAGTTTGCATTTGTCCTTGAGAGGAGCCAATAAAGTGTGTGTGAGTGAGTGAGATAAAAACCTTTTAAAGAGCGTAATGCAGGAGCATTGTTTGAAGAGATGCTTGTAGCAAATAAATGGGCCGTCCTTAATTCAACACACCAAAGTTGGTTTGGGGCCTTTAATACATCGGTAAGGAGTTTAAAAAAGCTGAATTCTCACCTATATGGTTTCTTAGTCTGCATTTCTGACCTCTCTGAAGATCTTCTCTTTGCTGTGAACTCTTCTCAGCAGGAGCAGCAGGTAACACCCTCTGGTTGTGTTTTCTGAACCTTTGAATTTAAACCTGGCTGCATTTAACATCTGCAGAGCACGAGGCCATGGTCTTCATCTTCTGCCTCACGGAGTGTACGAGGAAGACCTATAACAGTAAAACAGAGGATTTTAACCTAGTATAATGCCATTAGCAAATGCGGGTTTAAAAAAAAAAATCTTTTCAATTAACTAGAGTAAAACATAAAGCAAACATTAGCAAATTATTTTTTTAAAATATTACATTATATAAGTTGTGATGGAAAAAATTTGAGGTGCTCAAAGACATAAAAGCATCTTTACTGGGACCAAAAGGCAGGCTCTACAATATATAGGGAAATCACAACCTTTGAAGACATCCTTTTTGCTTGTCAGAAAGAATCAAAACTAGTTTGAAATTGTATTACAAAAACTATGCTGGCTTACATTTGTCCCACTCACATAGTTTCACTTAGGCTGCTTTCACACTGATCAGTTTTTTCTTCTGCTTTTCCGTTGAAAAAGCGTTACCAAGTAATCTATGGAACTCTTCGCACTGATCTGTTGCAAATCCGCTTCATTTTTTAATATTCCTGCAGTTTTTTTAGAAATGAATGAAAAACGCATAAAAAATGCACCCGTGTTGTGTTGAGTCAAATGTGCTGTATAGAAAAAAAAAAAAAAAAGCACCACAAACGTGGTATAAATGCAGCACAAAAACACATTTGTGCTTTTGCTACGAATCAGTGCGAATTTAGCCTATGCAAAATCCTATTCCTTTTAAAGGATAAGTTCACCTAGCGGCTGCAGCTACAGGAACATGCTACGTGTTCCATCATAAAAACGCGTGGAACATGTAACGTTCCCCAAAGGTGAATTTATCCTGAAGTCAGAAATTTTTTTTTTTTTTTTTTTTTAAGTGTTACTAAAACCCACAACAGTAAAATCAGTCTGTATGTGCACTAAAGCATGCTTGTTATACTCACTGTGGGACCTAAGGGGTTAACCACTTGACCTACCTGGTACTTTTACCCCCTTCTTGTCCAGGCACATTTTCAGCTTTCAGTGCTGTCGCATTTGAATGACAACTATGTGGTCATGCAACACTGTACCCATATGAAATGGATGCAAAATTGTCCCCACAGCAAACCTACAGGTTTGGAAATCTGGTATAACAGTGCTGGAGAGAAAGTGAACTGGCAGAAATATTCCTAGAAGTAGCTTTGTTTTTTTTTGTTTTTTTATTATTTTTGAGTTTTATAATGGCAGCAGTATTGACATTCGTAGCAGTACTACTGAATTTTTTTTGTCTTGATTAGTTATTTTTGCTATTTGAGCAGTGCACGTGTTTGTCTATTACTGGTGGTAACTGGGGAAAAACTGAATGTCTATATATGCCCTGTGATCTTCACTAGGCTCCATACCATGCGAGTCACGTGACCAGCAATGCAACGCTTTGGGTGGAGCCCGGTGACGTCATTTTCAGTTAGGATCTGGAACCGAAGTGTTGCCAGAGACTTGTGCAAAATAGAGTAATACACTGCTCAAAGCTTTTATATATTTGCAAATGCAATATTATCCCATATAAATAGTGGGAATTGTGTATGATGTTGTGCAATGAGAGTTCTCTCATTCTACATTTGAGCAATACTGGAATTGGAGACGGTAAGATCTGGTCTCCTAAAGGGACACCGCTTATGAAGTGGGCAATAACAGCTAAAAGGTGGATTTGCAAGGATCTCACATAAAAAGCGAATGTGACCTTGTGTATTTTAAGTCAATACATTCAGGTAAGCAGGCAGGGACCTAGTGTTGGATTGGTGGCACTTTTGATTATCAAACACTGAAGCATGTTCAAATGCTATTGAGGAATACATGAACTGTGCACTGTGGAGTCTTTATTGATGAACTGTGATGCTTGATTTTATTGACATATTAAGCAATGGTTGCATATTTGCATATCATTGAAAGTATATGAACTTTATGTAAGGGTGGTCACGCTGTTGCATGTTTTATCACTTAGAAACATTTAGAGTTTATTTAGAAAAATTACATACGTTTTTTTTTACGTAAAGTTACTTTTTGCACTTTAGGTTCATAATCAATATTTCGTGCAAATTATTATTATACAGTATTTATATAGCGCCAAAGGGTTTGCTCAGCGCTGTACAGTAGCAAGGGGACAGAACATGAGACAAGACAGAAACAATACACTACACGAGAGGTTCGAGGGCCCTGCTCTTTCCAGCTTACAATCTAGGAGGGAGGGAGCCAAATGTGTTTGGCTGTGCTCAATGATACCGTATACTACATAATAATAGTTATCACTAGTGTAAGTGGTAATAGAAGGCAAGGTGGTTTATATTGGTTTAGTATACACCATACACATAGTAAACTGGTTAGCACATTTATTTAAAATAAATAGCGCACCACTATAGTTTAAGTGGTTTTTATTTCTAGAAAGTAGTAACTCTCAGGATCTGGCGGTCCAGTGCAACACTGCAGAGAGTTGCAGAAAAATACTAGGCCATAAGGAGTTGCTAGATTCTGCTTTAACTGAAGACAAGACAATTCGGCAGCATTTTCAGAATGAGAGATTATAAATGTCAGCTTCCATAGTTTTCAGTACAGGTGACTTAATATAAAGCATCATAACCAGTGAGAGCTGTGTGAAAATGTGGAATAGACTCCCTCAAGAGTTGGTTCTGGCCAGCTCAGTGGATTGCTTCAAAAAAAAAAGTCCTGGATTCTTTCTTGGATACACAGAATATAACTGGATACTAACATTTATAGGTAAAGTTGATCCAGGGAATATCTGATTGCCTCTCGGGGGATCAGGAAGGAATTTTTTTTCTCTGCAGGAGCAAATTAGATCATGCTTTGCTGGGTTTTTTTTTTGCCTTCCTCTGGATTTTCTTTTAATGGTTGAACTGGACGGACTTTTGTCTTTTTTTCAGCCAGACTATGTAAATACAACATGAAAAGAAGACTTACGTTTCTTTTGGTTGTCGCTTTGGGTCACGCTTCCAGACTCTTCAGTGGACTTCTTTTGATAGCATTCTGATAAATAATGTGTTATGTCTTGATCATGTCTCTGCTCATCTTGGTCTAAAGATGCTGCACTTATCAGCCTAATTTGTAAGATCAAACAAATTCCTCATTATTTTCTATACAATGAACTCAAGCATAGCCCTCAAATTGTGATAGTCTTTGCACAAGACAAAAGAAAAAAAAAAAAATTACCATCGCACGCATCCTTGACTGCCATGAAAACAAGTAAAAACATTTTAGTAATGGAGATGCAAATGTGATACCTAGCCTAATCATAGTAAACACCTACAAAAAATAAAAATGGCTATATTAAAAGCAAGTATATTTATAAAACAACAAAAGCACAAAGGGTGCAAACACCTAGCGCATTATCCACAGCACTTTATTAAAAGACAAAAAGATACAAATTATACTCACAAACCATAGTAGATAAGTAGCATATCATGAATTCAGAGACCAGAGGTCCGCCCTATTCTACGCATTAAGGTAAAAAAAAAAAAAAACACACACCTTTCTGCAGGGCCCCCCCCCCCCCCCCGTAATCCTTACCTGAGTCCCCTCCAATACAGCGATGTTCACAACAGCCTCGGCTGTATGGGGACTCTCCCTCCTCTTTGGCTGAAACAGAAGTAGGAGAGACCATTGGCTCCCACCGTGTCAATCAGGGGAGTGGAGCTGAGCCGCCATGTCTTATAGATGCATAGAGCAGCAGCTCAGGAGCGAGTATGCAGCGGTGCCCCCAGGGTAAGAGGCTTTCTCTGGGGGGGGCACTGCTCGAGGTGGAGGAGCCAGGAGCATCAGCGACGGACATTAAAGTCTCAATAGAAATACACGAGAGGGATACCAACAGAGCAGCAGATTTACCTCACGTTTGTAACAAGCACAGTAACTGAGAACAGCAAACTCATAACTAGCAACACAAAGCTATGCAGATTGGACAACTATAATAAAAGTAGGGCTGAAACAACTAATTGACAATCAATTATAACTGATAAAAATAGTTGTCAACAATTTTTCATTCTCGATTAGTTGATCAGCAGATTAGCTGGACTGCATACAGAATGCATTATTTGTTTACATGTCAGTATACGCAGTGCAACACACACATACAGCTCAGTAATGCCATCCATACATGTCAGTAAGTTTATGAGAACTTGTGAATGTATGAGGAGCTTCATTGGATATGTAGTCCTGGGCAGAAGTAGAAAGGGATTTAAAGTGACTTTAAAAATCAGGGTTTTCTTTTTACCTTAAAATCATTCTATGCAAAATACCTTCTGTGACCAGCTCAAACCCCCCCCCCGTATACTTACGGATACCAATCTCAATCCTGCACTGTGCCCCAGGAGCAGCAGCACTGCTCTCTCTCCCTTCTCACAATACACAGATGTAGCAGTGGGAGCCATTGTCTCCTACTGCTGTGGGGGAGGGGGGGGGAGAGAGAGGGAGAGAGAAAAAGTAGAAAGCGAGAGAGAGAAAGTAGATGAGAGCGCGAGCGAGTAGAGAGAGGGAGCACGAAGAAAGAGAGAGGAGAGAAGAGAGAAAGAGAGGGGATGAGAAGATGAGAGAAGGGGGGGAGAGAAGAAAAAGAGAGAGGGGTAGAGAGGGAAGAAAAAGAGGAGAGGGGGGGAGAGAAGAAAGATTTTGTGGGAGAGGAGAGGGGGGAGAGGAGGAGAAAAGGAGAGAGAGGGGGGAGAGAAGAAAAAGAGAGAGGGGGGAGGAGAAGAGAAAAAGAGAGAGGGGGAGGAGAGAAGAAAAGGGAGAGAGGGGGGGAGAGGGAAGAAAAGAGAGAGGGGGGAGAGAAGAAAAAGAGAGAGGGGGGGAGGAGAAGAAAACGGAAGAGAGAGGGGGGAGAGAAAAAAAGAGGAGAGGGGGGAGAGAAGAAAAAGAGAGAGAGGGGGGGGGAGAAGGGAAACAAGAGAAGGGGGGGGGAGAAGAAAGAGAGAGGTGAGGGGGGGAAGAGAGGAGAGAGGAGAAGAGAAGAAGAGGAAGAGAGAGAGGGAGAGGGGGGGAGGAGAAGAGAGGAGAGAGAGAGAGAAGAAAAGGGGGGAGAGAAGAGAGAGGGGGGGAAGAGAAGTTGGAGAGGGGGGGAGAGAGAAGAGAGAAGAGGGGGGGGGAGAGGAAGAGAGAGGGGGGGGAGAGAAGGAGAGGGGGGGGAGAATAGAGGAAGAGAGAGGCAGGGGGAGAAGTGGATAGGGAGAGAAGAGAGAGGGGGGGAGGAAGAGAGAGAGAGAGTGGGAGGCAGCATTCGAGGAGAGTGGGAGGGAGGGAGGAGAGTGGGAGGGAGGAGAGGAGGTGGGAGGAGAGGGGAGGGGGGGGGGAGAGAGGGGGAGGGGGAGAGGGAGGGGGAGGGGGAGGGGGGCGAGGAGAGGAGAGGGGGGTAGAAAGGGAGGGAGGAGGGGAGAGAGGGAGGGGGGAAGGTAGAAAGGGGAGGAGGGAGGAGAGAGAGAGGAGGGGGGTAAGGAGAAAGCGAGAGGGGAGAGGAGAAAGGAGAGGAGGGGGGGGAGGGAAAGAGAGAGAGGAGAGGAGAGAGGAGAGGGGGGGGGGAAAGGGAGGGGAGAGAGAGAGGAGGGAGAAGGGAGGGGGGGGAGAAAGAGAGGAGAGAGAGAGAGAGGGGGGGGGGGGGGAAAAGGAGAGAGGAGGGGAGGGGAGGAAAGGGGAGGTAGGAAGGGGGAGAGAGAGAGGGGGGGGGGGAGAAAGGGGAGGGAGAGGAGAGGGAGGGGGGGTAAGAGGAAAGGGGAGAGAGAGGGGAGGGGAGGAGAGGGGGGGAGGGAGGAGAGGGGGGGAGAAGGGGGGGAGAAAGGGGGAGAGAGGAAGGGAAGGGGGGAGGAGGAGGAGGGGGGTAGAGGGAGGAGGAGGGAGAGAGAGGAGGAGGGGGGGAAAGGAGAGGAGAGGGGGGGGGGAAAGAAAGAGGAGGGGAGGGGGGGAAGGAGAAGGAGAGAGAGGGGGGGGGGAGGAAAGAGAAGAGAGGGAGAGGGGGGGAGAAAGGGGAGAGAGAGAGGGGGGAAAAGTGAAGGGGGAGGGAGGGGGGTAGAGAAAGGAAAGAGAGAGGGGGGGGAGAAGCAGAGAGGAGAGGGGGGTAGAAAGGGAGAGAGAGGGGGACGGAAGGGAAGGAGAGAGAGAGGGGGGGGAGAAAGGGAGGAGGGAGAGGGGGGTAGAAAGGGAAGCGGAAAGAGGAGAGGGGGAAGGGGGAGGGGGAGGGGGGAGGGGAGAGGGGAGAGAAAGGAGGGGAGGGAAGGAGGAGAAGGAGGGAGAGAGGAAGAGGGGGGAGAAAGGAGGGAGAGGGGGGGGGAGGAGGGAGGAGGGGAGAGGGGGGGAAAAGCGAGGAGGGGGGGGGGGAGGGAGAAGAAAGGAGAGAGAGGGGGGGAGAAAGGGGAGGGGGGGGGTAGAAAGGGAGGAGGGGGAGGGGGGGGGGGAGAGAGGAAAGAGAGAAGCGAGAGAGGGGGGGGGGGAGAGAAAGGAAGAGAGGGGGGGGGTTAGGAGAAAGCGAGAGAGGGGGGGGGGGGAAGAGAAGAGGAGAGGGGGGGGGGAGAAAGCGAGAGAGAGGGGGGGGTGGGAAAAGGAGAGAGGGGGGGGGGAGAAAGCGAGGAGAGAGGGGGGGGAGGAAAGAGAGGAGAGAGGGGAGGGGGGGAAGGAGGGGGGAGGGAGAGAGGGTGAGGGGGTAGAGGGAGGGGGGGGGGGAGAGCGAGAGAGAGGGGGGGGGTAAGGGAAGGAGGGGAGAGGGGGGGAAGGGGTAGGAGAGGGGGGGGAGGGGGGGGGAGAAAGGGGAGGGGGGGGGTAGGGAGGAAGGGAGGGAGGAGAGAAGGGAGAGAGGGAGAGAGGAGAAGTAGAAAGAGAGAGGAGGGGGGGCTTAGAAAGCGAGAGAGAGGGGGAGTAGAGAAAGAGGGGGGAGAGAGAGAAAGGGGGGTAGAAAGGAGAGAGAGAGAGGGGGGTAGAAGAGGAATGGGCTACAGCAGCAGAAGACCACACCGGGCCCCACTTCTGTCAGCCAAGAACAAGAAACAGAGGGTACAATTTGCACAGCCAAAATTGGACAATAGAAGATTGGAAAAATGTTGTCTGGTCTGGTAAGTCTTGATTTCAGCTGCAAAATTCAGACGGTAGGGTCAGAATTTGGCTTAAACATGAAAGCATGGATCCATCCTGTCTTTTTCATGGATGGGTGACCGACAAATCTGCAGCAAACTATCATGTCAATATGGACCAAAATCTCTGAGGAATGATTCCAACACCTTGTTGAATCTATGCCACGAAGAATTAAGGCAGTTCTGAAGGCAAAAGGGGGTCCAATAGTATAGAGGGTACTAGCAAGGTGGACCTAATAAAGTGGCCAATGAGTATCTATCTTAGTTTGTTATTCTGAAATTGGATTAGAGGGGACAGGCTGGCATTCCTGGGGGCAAGTACGCATTACGGCGCTAAGTACATGGGCACTTTTAAAACACGGCAACAAGGGAACATCTCAACGTCCCTCTCATCATTTCTCCTCTGCTCTCCAGGTAACCACTGCTTCCATTGCCCTCTGAAACTTCCTGCTCTCTCAATTGCTAAGCTACTCTGCATGCCTGAAATTATCTGCTTTGTTAGATTTTTTTTCTGTTTTTATTTTTTTTTTGTGGAACTAGGTGTTATACTTGCTTGTATGAAGTGACCTTAGCCTCATAGTGCCTTAGCTGAGATCAAACACCAAACACCTTGTCTTATCTTGTGTCCATCCAGCTTGCTATCTGTAAGGGCAGAACACATCCCCCACGTGTCATTTATTAGCTCTTACTTGAATGATTGCCTAACCTCTCCCCCCCCCTTGCTCAAAGTACGTATTACGGCGCTAAGTACATGGCACTTTAAACATGGCACTTTTAACTAAGGCAAGTACAAACAGTGCTCCACCTCAAGTAGATTGCATGTGCATGTAAATTTCCCTCTTTCTGTCAGCCTTCCTTTGTTATCTCTCCCTCTCCAGCATGCTCTTGCAAAACTCTCTTTGTTGCTATAATACCCTCTCTGCTCACACTCTCTGTTTTACCCCCCCTCCCACCACACAACCTGTACATATCACCCTCACTTCTGCCTTCTCAATATCACTGCACTTATCTCCTGCTCTCTCCTTGGTCCACATAATGTCACCGCTACAAAAATCACTGCAGCACTTACCCTCATATAAATCTCACTCCCACCTCACCTCACTCACCCTCCTATTACTACTAACTTCTGGAGACATTGCCCCAAACCCTGGCCCACCACCATCAAACTCCAACCCACAGAAGCAGCAGCCTCCCTCCCCTCTCTGGCCGCAGCTGCAACCCTCACTCTCTCATCTCAATTCCCCCCTGCTTCCACGTCCCAACCCCTCCCTCCTATGTGCCCTCTGGAAGGAATGCCCGCTCAGCCTCTAACGAACTCTCTACTATCAATGACCTCTCTCCACTCCCTCAACCTACTTGCTATTTACCGAAACCTGGCTCCAGGATTCTGACTCTGTCTCCTCAGCTGCACTCTCCCATGGTGGCCTCCTCTGGACTCACTCGCCCAGACCCAGTGGATGAAAAGGGGACGGAGTCTGACTTTTTCTTTCCCCACAAAGCACGTTCCAGGTTCTCTCCTGCCCTCCGTCTCTGTCCCTCCGCTCTTTTGAAGTGCACTGTATTCATCTCTTTTCTCCTGTTTGTCTGAGGATCGCAGTCATCTACTGGCCCCCGAGCCCAGATTTACGCTTTATTGATGACTTTTCAGCATGGCTACCGTACTCTCTCTCCTCTGAGGTGTCTGCATCATCCTCGGTGACTAACATCCCAGTCAATGTTCAACCCTGCCACCTCTCAACTACTCAACCTAACTTTCCTCTTTCAACCTAACAAAATGGTCACAATCCACCACCCCCACTCCAAAGGCAACACCCTTGACCTTGTATTCACCCACCTATGCACTCCCTGTAACCTCTCTAACACCCCTTTTCCTCTCTCTGATCACAACTTTATCAGCTTCACACTCTCCCTGCCTCCTACTACATCCCATGCCTCCAACCAGCAAACCGTTACCTGTAGAAACCTGTCACCACCTCAGCCCCTGACCTTCTTCACTCCGCTACTGACCGCCTCTATGATGAAATTGCACCCCTGTCCTGCCCAGAGCTGGCCACATCTGCCTACAACTATCTATCATCCTCCGTGGACGCTCTTGCTCCTCTTTATACACGCAGAACCAGGCCTAGCCTGTCACAACCCTGGCAAACAGATGACACCAGAAGTCTCAAGAGACGCAGCCGCACTCTTGAGCGAGCATGGCGTAAAACAAACTCTGAAAGACTTTACCCTCTACAAATCCGCTCTCCTCAAATACAACTCCAGCCTCCACGCTGCTAAGCAAACCTACTACAACACTCTCATCAAGACCCTCTCATCCAATCCTCACCAAGTCTTCTCTACCCTTAATTCCTTACTCCACCCCCCACTGCTTCCACCCACCAACTTACTTACTGCACAGGAGATTGCCAGTCACTTCAAGAAGATCGACACAATTCGTGATGAGATCTCCAGTGTCAAGCTTCCTCCTCAACATTATCAGGCCCAACACCAAACTCTACACTCTTCTCCTCCGACTCTGTTACCTCCAAGGAAGTTACCGAACTCCTTTCCAAGGCCCACTTCACCACCTGTCCCCTGGATCCTGTCACTTCACGACTGTTTCAGCCTCCTTCCTGTTTTATCCTAAACTCTCTAACCCACATCTTCAACCTCTCACTCTCCATGGGCACCTTTCCCTCCTCACTCAAACATGCACTGGTTACCCTCATCTAAAAAAAACCCTTGCTGGACCCCACCTGTTTGAATAACTTAAGACCCATCTCCCTGCTCCCGTTTGCCTCCAAGCTTCTCCAGCTCCTTGTTCACAACCGTACGAACTGCTACCTCACTGACAACAACCTTTTTGATCCCCGACAGTCTGGCTTCCGCCCACAACATTCCACAGAACTGCCCTACTAAAACTCACTAATGACCTACTAAGTGCTAAAACCAACAGCCATTACTCCATACTCCTACTCCTTGACCTTTCCGCTGCCTTTGACACAGTCGACCACACCCGCTCCTCCTCAGTAAACTCCACTCCATCGGCCTCCGTGACTCTGCTCTCTCCTGGTTCTCCTCTTACCTTTCTCAGTGCACTTTCAGTGTCACATACAACTCCTCCTCCTCCTCCGCTCCTCTTCCTGCTGGGGTACCCCAAGGTTCTGTCCTTGGGCTCCTCCTTTTCTCTCTCTACACCTCCTCCCTAAGCCAACTGATAACCTCCCATGGCTTCCAATACACCGCTATGCTGATGAAACCCAGACCTCTCTCTCCACTCCCCAGCTCACCCCCTCAATCTCCTCACGTATCACAAATCTACTAAGAGACATATCAGCATGGATGTCACATCACTACCTTAAACTCAATCTTTCAAAAATTGAGCTTGTAATATTTCCTCCCCCCCCGATCCCCCACTCATGACTTTACCACTAAGATCAACAGCACAACCATTGGTCCTTCCCCTCATGCCAGGGTGCTAGGCGTAATCCTAGACTCTGACCTCTTTGGGCCCCACATCCACTTACTGGCTAAAACCTGCTGCCTCAACCTCCGGGACATTTCCAAAATCTGCCCCTTCCTGACCAATGACACCACAATACAACTTATCCATGCCTTGGTTATATCCCGCCTCGATTACTGCAACTCCCTCCTCACTGGCCTACCATTACACAGGCTATCCCCACTTCAGTCTATTATGAATGCTGCTGTTAGACTCATACACCTTACCAACCGATCAGCGACTGCTGCCCCTCTCTGCCAATCCCTTCACTGGCTTCCACTAACCCAACGTATAAAATTCAAAATACTGACTACAGCTTACAAAGACATCCACAACACTGCCCCTAGCTACATCACCAACCTCAACCACAGTTATCAGCCAAATCGTCCATTCCGCTCCTCCCATGATATTTTTCTCTCTAGCTCCCTCATCACCTCCTCCCACGCTCGCCTCCAGGACTTCTCCAGAGCCTCTCCCATCCTCTGGAACTCCCTACCACAGCATGTCGGGTCAGCCCCCACCCTGTCTGCCTTTAGACGATCTTTGAAAACTCACTTATTCAGGGAAGCCTACCCCACCTCCACCTAAGAACTGTACTTGAATCACCTCCACCAGATCATCCCCCGCAGCTATCACCTTTTGTATCCCCTCCCCCTTACATTAGATTGTAAGCTCCACGAGCCGGGTCCTCACATTCCTTCTGTACTAAAATGTATTGTAAGTGTACCGTCTCCCTTATATTGTAAAGCCCTGCGCAAACTGTTGGCGCTATATAAATTCTGTATAATAATATTTTGTTCCCTAACCATATAGCTCATTATTTTTATTTATAGCTGCAAAAAGATATTTAAGAATAATTTTTGAAACTTTACATATTATCTAAATTACATACCACACTTAAGGTTTTGAGATGCGATCAAAACAATAATAGACCAACTAAATGATAATGAAAATAATCATTTGTTGCAGCCATAAATAAAAGTGCATAAAAGTAAAAAAAAAAACCCTTTTAGAAGTACAGATAAAGATGCATATATATTTTCACACCTAAAGGATTCCATTAAATTGCTGCTGGCCCCAGAGATTCCAGATATAGGGTACCATCTCTCAATAACCGAAGTGCTCCATCGACTGCTTTTTGACAATTCTTGATTAATCCACTCTGGCATAGCGACACCTGTGAGGGGGAAAAAGGCAATGTCTCAAAACATAATTTGGCAGTATATTTAACATAATAAACTTGCCCTTAAAATAAAACAAATTGTCCATAGATGTTACAATCAACCCCCCCCCCCCATTTAATCCAGTTATGCATGTATTGAGACTTAATAAAAAGAAGCCTTACCAGTAGTAAAGCTTGTAATAAACAAAGGGCTATCCCCTATCTACAGTGCTAATATAAAATGAATGGACACAAATCACATTACAAGAATGGTATGCGATTTGAACAGGAAAGCGGTGCGATTCCTGTCCAAATCACAGGTGGTTTCCTGCACCGCTCCTGTGTGAACCCAGACTGAAAATCACTATGTCAAGCCTGGGTTCACACAGGAGTGGTGCAGGCAACCGCATACGATTCGATCAGGAATTGCACCACATTCCTGTTCAAATTGCATTCCATTCTTTGCACCCATTTATTTTGTATGGACGCAAATCACATCGCAAAGTATTGACACACCACACACACACACACACACACACACACACACACACACACACACACACACACACACACACACACACACACACACAACACACACACACACACACACACACACACACACACACACACACACGTTACCAAAAGAAATTTCATTGCTACTAAATATTCCACAGTAATTTGTTAGTGGTATTAGAACAAAGTGGAAGCAACCGGGAACAACATCAACTCAGCCACCGAGTGGTACGCCACGCAAATTGATAGAGCGGGGTGAGAACACACTGAAGCGCACAGTGCGCAGCAGTCCCCAGCTCTCAAAAGTCAATAGCTAAAGACCTCCAAACTTCATATGGCCTTCAAATTAGCACAACAGTGCGTAGAGAGCTTCATGGAATGGGTTTCCATGGCCAAGCAGCTTCATCCAAGCCTTACATCACCTTGTACAATGCAAAGCGTCGGATGCAGTGGTGTAAAGAAGGCCGCCACTGGACTCTAGAGCAGTGGAGACGTGTTTTCTGGAGTGACCAATCACGCTTCTCTGTCTGGCAATCCGATGGACGTGTCTGGGTTTGGTTGAATGAGAGGAGAACGGTACTTGCCTGACTGCATTGTGCCAAGTGTAAAGTTTGGTGGGGGGGGGTATTATGGTGTGGGGTTGTTTTTCAAGGGTTGGGTTTGGCCCCCTAGTTCCAGTGAAGGGAACTCTTAAGGCATCAGCATCCCAAGACATTTTGGACAATTTCATGTTACCAACTTTGTGGGAAGTTTGAGGATGGCCCCTTCCTGTTCCAACATGACTACACACCAGTGCACAAAGCAAGGTCCATAAAGACATGGAGGAGCGAGTTTGGGGTGGAGGAACTTGACTGGCCTGCACAGAGTACTGACCTCAACCCGATAGAACACCTTTGGGATGAATTAGAGCGGAGACTGCGAGCCAGGCCTCCTCCCCCGACATCAGTGCCTGACCTCACAAATGTGCTTCTGGAAGAATGGTCCAACCTTCCCATAGACACCACTCCTAAACCTTGTGGACGGCCTTCCTAGAAGAGTTGAAGCTGTTTAAGCTGCAAAGGGCGGGGCCAACTCAATATTGAACCCTACGGACTAAGACTGGGATGCCAGTAAAGTTCATGTGCATGTAAAGGCAAGCGCCCCAATACTTTTGGCAATATAGTGTATATGTGTACATTCATTATGCATTGTTATTTGTGTGTGATTAACAATAAAATCACACCCACAAAATAACTTTTAAACTGCATTTGCTAATGACATTATACTAGGTTAAAAACCTGTTTTACTGGAAACCAGTTAAATACTGAGCATTTTTTTAATTTTACCTGTCAGTATGTTCAGGTCTTCCTAGAACAACTGAGGCAGAAGATGCTCTGCAGATGTTAAATGCAGCCAGGTTAAATTCAAAGGTTCAAACAACACAGCCGGAAGGTGTACCTGGTGAGTGTGTTTGCGCCCCCTCCACCACAAAGAACCCCCCCCCAGGGCACGTGGCCTGGTATGGTTCAAGGGGGGGAATTCGCGCTCGCTCTCTCCCCCCCTTCCTTTCCTGTCCTGCCGGGCTGCATGCTCGGATAAGGGTTGGATTTTGGGTGGGGGTTCCCCTTAAAATCCATACCAGACCCAAAGGGCTTGGTATGGATGGAAGGGGGACCCCACGCCGTTTTTTAAAAATAAATTTTTAATTGCTGGCAATTCTTTTACATTCAGCTGTCAGTGGGGAACCCTGCTGACAGCTGCAACATTAACGCATGGTTTTCACTACTAAAATATTGCATGACGTGATAAAATAACTCATGCGGTATTTTAGGAGCTTTTTTTGTGAATTCAAACTTTTTTTTTAAAACAATGCTAAGCGGTATCCTACTGCATACTTGGATGCGATAAGATACCACTTAGTGAATTGTGTACCCAGTGAGCCTTTCACCGGACCCCCCTACTGACCCCGGGCAATGCCCGAATGGTCAGTCCACTCCTGGTTACATCTAACTGCACTCTATTCCCTGGGAGAGAGGAGTACCTAAAGAAAATTTTGGTCACCTCACTTCTTTAATTGTACTACCCTCCTGTAATTATCTCCATATTTGCAGATTTGGAGTGCTAATAGGCCAGTAACCACACTTGTGGGATAGCACCTAGTAGAGAATGACATAAAAGGGTGCATCTAGGCCATCAACTGGGTTAAATAAAGCAGACTTACCAGGTGACTTTATTCTCTCATCAAAAGAATAAACATGGTGAAGGATGCTGTTCACAATATCTGAGAGATCAGATGAAATTTCTTCACTGCATTCTTTTTCATTCTCCAAAAAGAAGAGAACTATCAAGCCTAAAAGATTCATCACTTCTAAATACACTAAGAACTGCCGCAGTTCCTGAAATTGGAGACAGGATCCCGGTATTCAGAGACAAGTCATCCTCTGTGAATATATCCGCAATCTGAAGATAAAAAAAATTGCACATCATAAACATTCATGAAAAATACAGAAGCTTTTATTTAACCACTTGCCTACAGGGTACTTATACCCCCTTCCTGCCCAGGCCAGTTTTCAGTGCTGTCGCACTTTGAATGACAATTGCACGGTCATGCAACACTGTACCCATATGAAATTTTTATCTTTTTTTTAGACAAATAGAGCTTTCTTTTGGTGGTATTTAATCACCTCTGGGATTTTTATTTTTTGCTAAACAAACCAAAAACTGAAAATTGTGAAAAAAAAAAAAAAAAAAAACTTTTCTTAGTTATAAAATTTTGTAAATACTGTATGTGATTTTTCTCCTTCACTAATGTGTGCTAATGAGGCTGCAGTGATGGGCACTGATGAGCATTGACAGGCATCACTGATGGACACTGAAAAGCAGCACTCATATATGGCACTGACTAGCAGCACTGATAGGCGGCACTGATAGACGGCAGTAATAGGTGGCATTGATAAGCACTGACAGGTGGCACTGCAGTGCCTTGATGATTAGTGTACATGTCCCCTCTGAGGAATGCCGATTACCGGCTCTCCTCTCCAGCTGGCATTTCCCCATTTACATGCGATCAGCTGTGATTGGACACAGCTGATCACATGACCGAGCCGACATCTTCGTCTCTTTCCGTTGATCGGTGATCCGCTGTGTCCGAAGGACACAGCGCACCACCAATGGCCGCGCATGCGCGGTTATAGTGGGAGGACATCGTTATGACGTCCTCCCCGAACGAGATAACCGCCTTGCGCCCGTCATTAGCTTATATGGCGGGGGGGAAAACGGTTAAAAGAAAAAATAAAATGTCTAAATATTTAAAGGAAGATCAGGAATTAAACAAAAAACCCAATTATACTCACCTAGTTGGATGCTGCATCTGTTCCCTGTCAGCTCTAAGACCAAGAACTAAGTGATCAAACACCACTGATCTCTCAGCTCTCGATCTTCAGGCTGCAGAGAGCTGGTGATGGTCGGTCTCCAGCTCTCTGCTTATTAGAGCTCTGGGCTGTGGAGAGGGCGAGAGGGGCTGGCTCAGGCTGCCAGCAGATCACTGAGAGGCTAAGCCCGCTGCCAGTCCAGGCTTCTGGGTGGATCCTGTCCAGAGCCTGGACCAGCTCCGCAACATCTCTGTGAAGCCCACTTTCAGCTGAAAACGGGTCACAGGAGTGCAGAACAAACTGCACTCTTGTGATCTATACAAGTACAGCCAAAAAAAAAAGCTTTGCCTATAATCTTCCTTTAATAATGGCAGCTGTTATAAGTCCGCAAAAATATAGTTGCCAGTCTCTGAACTCTGAATACGCAGCTATGGTTAGCCACTAAAGCAGAATTGCAAATAAAAAATATGACCAAGTACTCTAAAACCATAAAACATCAGTATGGTCATTGCACACTGTAGCTTGAAAAAGCGCAGTAGTGTTTTTTGTTTTTTTTACTGAGTTAAAACGTAGCCCATTATTTACAACGTTCCTTTGCACACAGGTACGTAAACAGGCGCCACGTATTCCTCATTAAAATACAATATATAGGGAAATCTGCATTTTTGGTCAGTAATTTACGCCTGAAATTACATCTAAAAAAGCAGATGCTTAAACATCAGGACCATGTGCAGGTGATCCTAACCTCCAGGTACAGTTTGTATTGCTTTGGTCCAACTTGGATTAAAGTAGAACTTGAGAAATGAAAACAGGTAGGATTACGAAGAGTTTTTGTCTCTTCTGCATTATGTACCTGCCTGTTCGCCCCTGTACATGTGCAGCTCAGGGCAAGAATTTCGGCAATGCTGACAGGACTGAACTTCCGCACGTGCACAGGAGATACACGATTTATATTGCTCAAAAAAATTTAAATGACACTTTTTAATCAGAGTATAGCATCAAGTCAATGAAACTTCTGGGATATTGATCTGATCAGTTAATAACAGAGAGGATTAATTAGTTTCAGCTGCTTTGGTATTAATGAAATTAACAGGTGCACTAGATTGGCAACAATGAGACGACCCCCAAAACAGGAATGGTTTTACAGGTGGAGGCCACTGACATTTTTTTCCCTACTCATCTTTTCTGACTGTTTCTCACTAGTTTTGCATTTGGCTAGGGTCAGTGTCACTACTGGTAGCATGAGGCGATACCTGGACCCTACAGAGGTTGCGCAGGCAGTCCAATTCCTCCAGGATGACACATCAATATGTGCCATTGCCAGAAGGTTTGCTGCGTCTCCCAGCACAGTCTCAAGAGCATGGAGGAGATTCCAGGAGACAGGCAGTTACTCTAGGAGAGCTGGACAGGGCCATAGAAAGTCCTTAAACCATCAGCAGGACCCGCATCTGCTCCTCTGTGCAAGGAGGAACAGGATGAGCGCTGCCAGAGCCCTACAAAATGACCTCCAGCAGGCCACTGGTGTGAATGTCTCTGACCAAACAATCAGAAATAACTTCATCAGGGTGGTCCGAGGGCCCGATGTCCTCTAGTGGGCCCTGTGCTCACTGCCCGACACCATAAAGCTGGATTGGCATTTGCCATTGAACACCAGAATTGGCTGGTCCTCCACTGGCGCCCTGCTAGTATGAAGCACTGAGAATGAGGGTAACCTGAAGCTTTTTTTTTTTTTTTTTTTTTTTTTTAACTCATTGGGCTGGCACTGTATCTACTCGCTCAGCAGATGCACTTCTGCTGAGACTTAAAAAGAGCCCGACACTTTTCTCCTGACGAGCACCAAATTGGTGCATATTACACTGCAAGGTCTCTCCCCTCCATGTTAGTTCCTGGGTGCAGTGCTGGAGACAGGCAGGGAGGTGAGGGGAGATAAACAGCGCAATGTTAAAAACATTAAAAGTTTAGGTCGCCATAAAGCCCCTACACTTTTAAAAGCCCCAGACATTCCTCAAAGCACCTCAAATTTAAATACGGTTTTGGTTAAAAAAAAAAAAATATTTTTTCTTCATCAGGGCAAATGGATAGGGACCCCCCCACAATTTAGTCCCTTGCACAAGCAGTTTTTTTTTTTTTTTTAAACACTCCTGTGTCATCTCAGCCCAGCCAATGGAAACAGCCAGGGATTTTGATACCCTGGGCATGGAGACCTGGAAGCTATGGAGAACAGGCAAGTATAGTTCTGCTTACTCTATATCTTTTGAACCGCTGCGGAACTCTTTGAATAGCAACCATCATTTAAACAGGAGTAAGAACAATCAAATAATTCATTGTAAAAAAAAAATGACAGTTATTTTACTTACCAAGAGCAGCCCTTTTGACATAGCAGCAGACAGCAGTTGCTGAAAGAGTAAGCACGGAGTCTGACAACTGTCGGATGAATTTTGAATAATCCAGGTGTCCAATGCAAAACTACCCATTTGACGCCAGTTCCAGTTTTGAATGGTTCCTTTTAAACTTATTTTAATTAAACTCTTGAAGTGTTTCTGATGTACAGAAACAGGTTCCAAAGTAATAGGACATTCACAATTTTCAACTCCACCTACAAAACAAAGCATTTTGTGAAGAAGGGCCCCATGTAAAATATAACCAAGTAGTACTTGATAATTATTGTGCACTGTTGGAGAAGAGAAGGAATAGGATTTGCAAGGAGAGATTATTCCAGGCCTGGACAAACCTGAAAATATAGAAGTCAACCGAAAAACCAGCATCAATCTGACGTTATGTAGTTCTCACTCCCTTCCAACAGCCATTCAGTCAAAATAAATCCCCTGGTTCCCCCAAAGGCATCCTAACACACACACACACATCACATTTTTGTAAATTTGTGATTCTCTTTTCATGTGACAACACTGAAAAAATGACACTTTGCTACAATGTGACGTAGTGAGTGTACAGCTTGCATAACATGTACATTTGCTGTCCCCTCAACATAACTCACCACACACCGCCATTAATTTCTAAACCGCTGGCAACAAAAGTCAGTCCACCCCTAAGTGATCAAAAATGTCCAAATTGGGCTGCTGCTCTCACATTGGTTCATTCATGGAGATTCATTAGTCTTGACTTGCCATTCTGATCTCAGGAAATACAAGTATATATAAACAGATACAATATAGAGTTGCCTAGATCAGAAAATTTGTTGCACATCTGCTTAACCCCCTTGACGCCGAGCGCGGCCGCATATTTGCGTGCAATTAAAAAAATACATATGTGCTGAGAGCACGCACCCTGCGCGCTCCCAGCACATATGTCCGCTACTCCCGGAAAGGTCCCAAGCTCCACTTTTGATCGGGACCTTTTCCGATCATGTGACCACAGTGATAGCAAATTACGGTGGTCACATGATCCTAAAACCCCACCCTGCCTCCCGGCTTCTGAAACTCTTAAAGGCTGGGAGGCGCAGCCCCAAGGAGGTTAAGTTACTTAAAGGGTATCTAAACCCAAGAACAAAAACTAATAGTAATCTACAAATCTTCATCTACTTGCATATTAAAGTTATATACCAGCAAGAATTAGTCTTTATGTAGAAAACTAGGATTTAAATCAAGCCTTACTGACTAGTGATTTGAAATCAGTTTGATTTAAATCAAATCCACCCTGGGTGGCCGCATTTCTTTTTAAAGTGTATTTAAACCCTCACCTTGTAAACAGACTCAGTTTAAAAGAGAAATTAAAAAGGCAAAAAACTTTTATGTATAGATATAAAAAAAAAATAAATAAAACAAAACACCATTATAAATACCATTTTTTTTTCAGCTGCATAAGAGCTGGGGAGGAAAAACAACAGTACACCAATCTTCTCAGTGAATGGCTGTGCGGGAGGGGTATTCTCAGGACAAATTATTGGTGAAGAGCGAGCAGAATTCCCAGAGAACTGGCTCCTGTCTAGTGTGGTCAGTTTTGAATACAAATGCAGAGGGGCTGCACACAAAGGAAGCAATACGAAGAGAACGGGATACTTTTTCATACACGTACAGAAGGCACATGTCAGGAATAAAACAAAACACGGTGATCAGCAACACAGAAGATCTCAGCCAGGTGACTGGTAGATTGCAGTTTGGCTTGCTGACCGCCATCCCAGAGCATCAGAGAACAATGCACTCTAGGGAGCAAGAGCCGCATAAGCCGATTCCACCTCTGTAGCGCTGACTTCTGTCCCATGCGTAGTCATACCAACTGCAATCCACCTATTACTCCAAATAGCAGTCTCCAGGGTGGTGCCAGCAGCAGGAAAGTAGAGATAGTCAAGAGAAGCAATACACTGGGCATAATAGTATACGGCTGCTTTCACACTGATGCGCTGCGGTTTACCCACACCGTGGGTGCAGTGCAGTGTCCCTGAAGCTTTTCTGCGGTAGCCATAGACTTGCATTATTATATCCTGCGAGTTTGGTGCACTGACAGCACACCAAAACTCCTGAATGCACCCCACCTGCAGGACCCTCCGTTCCCCAACTGCAGGACCCTCCTTTCATGACCCTCCTTTCCCACCTGCACGACCCTCCTTTCATGACCCTCCTTTTCCCACCTGCACGACCCTCCTTTCATGACCCTCCCCACCTGCACGGCCCTCCTTTCATGACCCTCCTTTCCCCTGCACGACCCTCCTTTCATGACCCTCCTTTCACCTGCACGGCCTCCTTTCATGGCCCTCCTTTCATGGCCCCTCCTTTCATGCCCTCCTTTCATGGCCCTCCTTTCATGGCCCTCCTTTCATGGCCCTCCTTTCATGGCCCTCCTTTCATGGCCCTCCTTTCATGGCCCTCCTTTCATGGCCCTCCTTTCATGGCCCTCCTTGCCCACCTGCAACGGCCCTCCTTGCCCACCTGCCCTCCTTGCCCACCTGCACGGCCCTCCTTGCCCACCTGCACGGCCCTCCTGCCCACTGCACGGCCCTCCTTGCCCACCTGCACGGCCCTCCTTGCCCACCTGCACGGCCCTCCTTGCCCATCTGCTTTTTGAACCACTTTAAGCCCAAAGCTGAATTTTCACAAAGCTAAAGAACAAATAAGCAATATAGTAAAATAAAATAGTCAGAATTTTGAAAGAGAAAAAAAGAAAACTTACCAGCTGCTGTGAAATACAAAGTGCCGTTCTGCTGAGGAAAACTGAATGTTCATTTCACAATCATCGCTGATCAGAGAAGTCAGCACAGAATCACTAGGAATCTGTAAAGGCAGTCCGTGAGTGGAAGGCTTCTCCGATACTTGCTGAAATGTAGATTCCAACAAACACTCTGATGGCAAAATTCTACCACCAACCAACTGCATCAGTTCCACCATCTTCCAGTACCCAAAATGATCACAGGAATCCCAAGCCTACAAAATAAAAACATGAATAGACAATGGGCCCTTCACCGTTATATATGAGCAAAAAAAATAAATCAGAAACTATTTTGTAGTTCACCTTCACAGAAAATCTGTAATGCAGAACTTGACAAATTTGCTTTGAATCTAGGAGGCGGCTAAAGTTAGGAGCTAGTTTTGTTTTTCTAGCTTAGTGCGAGTTGTCAGTACCCAGAACAAGGCAACTTTTGGGTGTCAAGCGACACAAGATGCGATTTGCCATGTGACAATCACCACATTTTAGGGGCCATTGAAAATAATGGCACCAGAACCTGCGTTTCTGCGATCACAGCGATTCTGCCACAATCCCAAAATGGCCAGGTGTGAATGGAGCCGCCCCCGGTTCACACACATGCCATTCTGGATGCATTTTTAAACTCACAGATTTGCACGACAGGCTAGATATGTGTTTCTATTAACATGGATCACAGTTAGATGCAACCCAGTGAAAGGTCATCTTACAGATTTTCTGTAAGTCTAGGTTCACACCTAGGCAGGTTGCGTTTTGATGCGTTTCTGCATGCGTTGTGTAACTTTTTTAAAAATTTTTCTTGTTGCTAGGCAGAGATTTTTAAATGCGAAACACATGAAAAACACAATACATGCTTTTCTGCAGCATTTCCATTGAACTATAGAATCAAAAATGCAACATTTTGCATTCAAAAAAGTCCCTGATCCTTTCCAAAAAACGCACCCGGTGAAAACATGGAGATGTGAACCTGTCCCATAGGAAATCATGTTAAATGGTCTGCTGTGCGTTTCTGGCAAAATGCTTCGGAAAACGCTTAGGTGTGAACCTGGGGTAAAGGTGAACTTACACTTTAAAGTGCTATGAACCCCTCGCCTACAGGGCACTTATACCCCCTTCCTGCCAAGGCCAATTTTCAGCGCTGTCACACTTTGAATGACATTTGCGCAGACATGCAACACTGTACCCCATATGCCATTTTTATCACTTTTCTGAGATAGAGCTTGCGTTTGGTGGTATTTAATCACCTCTGGGTTTTTTTTTTTACTAAACAAACCAAAAAAACAACTGAAAATTTTTGAAAAAAAAAAAAAAAGCATTTTTTCTTAGTTTCTGTTCTAAAATTTTGTAAATAAGTGATTTATTCTCCTTCACTGATGTGTGCTAATGAGGCTGCACTGATGGGCACTGATAGGCTGCACTGGGAGACATTAACTGGCATCACTGAAAGGAAGCACTCATAAGTGGCACTGATAGGCGGCACTGAAAGGCAGCTCAGATGGGCACGGATATTCGGCACTGATTGGCACTGGCAGGTGGCACTGATGGGGCTACACGGATCATCTGAATAATGCCGATTACCGGCTCTCCTCTGTCAGCGTGACGGCTCGTGAGGAGAGGAACGTCGATAACTGGTATTTCCTTATTTACATGCGATCAGCTGTGATTGGACACAGCTGATCACATGACCGAGCCGACATCAGCTCTTTCCATTGATCGGTGATCCGCTGTGTCCCAGGGACACAGTGCACTGATCGCCGCACTGCACACGCGGTTAGAGTGGGAGGACATCATGTGACGTCCTCCCAGAACGAGAGAAACTGCCTTGCGCCCGTCATGACCTTATATGGCGGGTGGGAGGTGGTTAAAGTAGAAGTGCGACCAAACATGTTTTGGCTATACTCCTCGAGGGTCACAGGAGTAGATTTCCTTTTGTTCTCATGTGACCTGGAGTCAGCTTACAGCGAATTATTGCCTGTTGTCAGCTGATGGAACGAAGCGTACACTGAGTGTCCCCCTACGTACAATGACAGTGGGCAGAGCGTTCCTCCCCCCCCCCCCACGTACACTGACAGTGAGAGAGGAGGCCCCCCCCCCCCCCCCCCCCCCCCCCCCCCCCCCCCCCCCGTACACTGACAGTGAGAGGAGCGCCCCCCCCCCCGTACACTGACAGTGAGAGGAGCCCCCCCCCCACGTACACTGACAGTGAGGAGCGTCCCCCCCCACGTACACTGACAGTGAGGAGCGTCCCCCCCCCACGTACACTGACAGTGAGAGGAGCGCCCGTCCCACGTACACTGACAGTGAGAGGAGCGTCGCCCCCCCCCCCCACGTACACTGACAGTGAGAGGAGCCCCCCCCGTACACAGACAGTGAGAGGAGCCCCCCCACGTACACAGACAGTGAGAGGAGCCCCCCCCACGTACACAGACAGTGAGAGGAGCCCCCCCACGTACACAGACAGTGAGAGGAGCCCCCCCACGTACACAGACAGTGAGAGGAGCCCCCCCACGTACACTGTCTGTGTACGTGGGGGGGCTCCTCTCACTGTCTGTGTACGTGGGGGGGCTCCTCTCACTGTCTGTGTACGTGGGGGGGCTCCTCTCACTGTCTGTGTACGTGGGGGGGGCTCCTCTCACTGTCTGTGTACGTGGGGGGGCTCCTCTCACTGTCTGTGTACGTGGGGGGGCTCCTCTCACTGTCTGTGTACGTGGGGGGGCTCCTCTCACTGTCTGTGTACGTGGGGGGGCTCCTCTCACTGTCTGTGAGAGGAGCCCCCCCACGTACACAGACAGTGAGAGGAGCCCCCCCACGTACACAGACAGTGAGAGGAGCCCCCCCACGTACACAGACAGTGAGAGGAGCCCCCCCACGTACACAGACAGTGAGAGGAGCCCCCCCACGTACACAGACAGTGAGAGGAGCCCCCCCACGTACACAGACAGTGAGAGGAGCCCCCCCACGTACACAGACAGTGAGAGGAGCCCCCCCACGTACACAGACAGTGAGAGGAGCCCCCCACGTACACTGACAGTGAGAGGAGCCCCCCACGTACACTGACAGTGAGAGGAGCCCCCCACGTACACTGACAGTGAGAGGAGCGTCCCCCCCCCCCCACGTACACTGACAGTGAGAGGAGCGTCCCCCCCCCCCCCACGTACACTGACAGTGAGAGGAGCGCGTCCCCCCCCCCCCGACAGTGAGAGGAGCGTCCCCCCCCCCGACAGTGAGAGGAGGAGCGTCCCCCCCCCCCCCGACAGTGAGAGGAGCGTCCCGCGCCCCCCCCGACAGTGAGAGGAGCCCCCCCCCCGAACAGTGAGAGGAGCGTCCCCCCCCCCCCCCCCGAACAGTGAGAGGAGCGTCCCACCCCCCGAAACAGTGAGAGGAGCGTCCCACCCCCCCGAGTGAGAGGAGCGTCCACCCCCCCGAACAGTGAGAGGAGCGTCCCCCCCCCCCCCCCGAACAGTGAGAGGAGCGTCCCCCCCCCCCCCCGACAGTGAGAGGAGCGTCCCCCCCCCCCCGACAGTGAGAGGAGCGTCCCCCCCCCCCCCGACAGTGAGAGGAGCGTCCCCCCACCCCCGACAGTGAGAGGAGCGTCCGTCCCCCCCCCCCCCGACAGTGAGAGGAGCGTCCCCCCCCCCCCCCCCGACAGTGAGAGGAGCGTCCCCCCCCCCCCCGACAGTGAGAGGAGCGTCCCCCCCCCCCCCCACTGACAGTGAGAGGAGCGCGTCGTCCCCGACAGTGAGAGGAGCGCCCCCCCCCCCTTGACAGTGAGAGGAGCGCCCCCCCCCCTTGACAGTGAGAGGAGCGCCCCCCCCCCTTGACAGTGAGAGGAGCGCCCCCCCCCCCCTTGACAGTGAGAGGAGCGCCCCCCCCCCCCGACAGTGAGAGGAGCCCCCCCCCCCCCGACAGTGAGAGGAGCGCCCCCCCCCCCTTGACAGTGAGAGGGCGCGCCCCCCCCCCCCGACAGTGAGAGGAGCGCCCCCCCCCCCCCCCCGACAGTGAGAGGAGCGCGTCCCCCCCCCCCCCCGACAGTGAGAGGAGCCCCCCCCGTACACTGACAGTGAGAGGTGCCCCCCCCCCGTACACTGACAGTGAGAGGTGCCCCCCCCCCCCTGACAGTGAGAGGTGCCCCCCCCCGTACACTGACAGTGAGAGGTGCCGCCCCCCCCTTGTACACTGACAGTGAGAGGTGCGCCCCCCCCCCCCCTGACAGTGAGAGGAGCGTCCCCCCCCCTACACTGACAGTGAGAGGAGCGTCCCCCCCCACGTACACTGACAGTGAGAGGAGCGCCCCCCCCCCCCCCCCGAAACACTGACAGTGAGAGGTGCCCCCCCCCCGTACACTGACAGTGAGAGGTGCCCCCCCCCCCCCCCCCCGTACACTGACAGTGAGAGGTGCCCCCCCCCCCCGTACACTGACAGTGAGAGGAGCCCCCCCCCCACCCCCCCCGTCCACTGACAGTGAGAGGAGCGTGCCCCCCCCCCCCGTACACTGACAGTGAGAGGAGGTCCCCCCCCCCCCCGTACACTGACAGTGAGAGGTGCCCCCCCCCCCCCCCCCCCCCCGTACACTGACAGTGAGAGGTGCCCCCCCCCCCCCCCCCGTACACTGACAGTGAGAGGAGCCCCCCCCCCCCGTACACTGACAGTGAGAGGAGCCCCCCCCCCCCCCCCCCCCCGTACACTGACAGTGAGAGGAGCGTCCGCCCCCCCCCCCCCACGTACACTGACAGTGAGAGGTGCCCCCCCCCCGTACACTGACAGTGAGAGGAGCCCCCCCCCCCCCGTACACTGACAGTGAGAGGAGCGTCCCCCCCCACGTACACTGACAGTGAGAGGTGCCCCCCCCACGTACACTGACAGTGAGAGGTGCCCCCCCCCCCCGTACACTGACAGTGAGAGGAGCCCCCCCCCCCCCACGTACACTGACAGTGAGAGGAGCGTCCCCCCACGTACACTGACAGTGAGAGGAGCCCCCCCCCCCACGTACACTGACAGTGAGAGGAGTGCCCCCCCCCGTACACTGACAGTGAGAGGAGAGTGCCCCCCCCCGTACACTGACAGTGAGAGGAGCCCCCCCCCCCCCCGTACACTGACAGTGAGAGGAGCCCCCCCCACGTACACTGACAGTGAGAGAGGAGCGCCCCCCCCCACGTACACTGACAGTGAGAGGAGCGCCCCCCCCCGTACACTGACAGTGAGAGGAGCCCCCCCCCACGTACACTGACAGTGAGGAGGAGCCCCCCCCACGTACACTGACAGTGAGAGGAGCGCCCCCCCCCACGTACACTGACAGTGAGAGGAGCCCCCCCCCGTACACTGACAGTGAGAGGAGGCCCCCCCCCCCCCCCGTACACTGACAGTGAGAGGAGCGTCCCCCCCCCCCCACTGACAGTGAGAGGAGCGCCCCCCCCCCCGACAGCGCCCCCCCTGACAGTGAGAGGAGCGTCCCCCCCCCCCCGACAGTGAGAGGAGGCGCCCCCCCCCCGTACACTGACAGTGAGAGGAGCGCCCCCCCCCCCCCCCCCCCCCACTGACAGTGGGAGGAGCGCCCCCCCCCCCCCGTACACTGACAGTGGGAGGAGGCCCCCCCCCCCCCCCCCCCCGTACACTGACAGTGGGAGGAGCCCCCCCCCCCCCCCGTACACTGACAGTGGGAGGAGCGTCCCCCCCCCCCCCCACGTACACTGACAGTGGGAGGAGCGTCCCCCCCCCACGTACACTGACAGTGGGAGGAGCGTCCCCCCCCCCCCACGTACACTGACAGTGGGAGGAGCGTCCCCCCCCCCCACCCTGACAGTGAGAGGAGCGTCCCCCCCCCGTACACTGACAGTGGGAGGAGCGTCCCCCCCCCCCGTACACTGACAGTGGGAGGAGCGTCCCCCCCCCGTACCGACAGTGGGAGGAGCGTCCCCCCCCCCCGACAGTGAGAGGAGCGTCCCCCCCCCCCCCTGACAGTGAGAGGAGCGTCCCCCCCCCACGTACACTGACAGTGAGAGGAGCGTCCCCCCCCCCCCCCGACAGTGAGAGGAGCGTCCCCCCCCCCCCCGACAGTGAGAGGAGCGTCCCCCCCCCCCCCGACAGTGAGAGGAGCGCCCCCCCCCCCCCCCGACCCCCCCCCCCCCCCCCGACAGTGAGAGGAGCCCCCCCCCCCCCGACAGTGAGAGGAGCGCCCCCCCCCCCCCCGACAGTGAGAGGAGCGCCCCCCCCCCCCGACAGTGAGAGGAGCCCCCCCCCCCCGACAGTGAGAGGAGCGTCCCCCCCCCCCCCCCCGACAGTGAGAGGAGCGTCCCCCCCCCCCCCCGACAGTGAGAGGAGCGTCCCCCCCCCCCGACAGTGAGAGGAGCGTCCCCCCCCCCCCCCGACCCCGACAGTGAGAGGAGCGTGTCCCCCCCCCCCCGACGTGAGAGGAGCGTTCCCCCCCCCGACAGTGAGAGGAGCGTGTCCCCCCCCCACGTACACTGACAGTGAGAGGAGCGTGTCCCCCCCCCCGTACACTGACAGTGGGAGGAGCGTGTCCCCCCCACGTACACTGACAGTGGGAGGAGCGTGTCCCCCCCACGTACACTGACAGTGGGAGGAGCGTCGTCCCCCCACGTACACTGACAGTGGGAGGAGCGTCGTCCCCCCCCCGTACACTGACAGTGGGAGGAGCGTCCCCCCCCCGTACACTGACAGTGGGAGGAGCGTCCCCCCCCCGTACACTGACAGTGGGAGGAGCGTCCCCCCCCGTACACTGACAGTGGGAGGAGCGTCCCCCCCACGTACACTGACAGTGGGAGGAGCGTCCCCCCCCCGTACACTGACAGTGGGAGGAGCGCCCCCCCCCCCCCCCGTACACTGACAGTGGGAGGAGCGCCCCCCCCCCCCCCGTACACTGACAGTGGAGAGGAGCGCCCCCCCCCCCCCCCAGTGAGAGGACGCGCCCCCCCCCCCTGACAGTGGAGGAGCGCCCCCCCCCCCCCCGTACACTGACAGTGGGAGGAGCGCCCCCCCCCCCCCACGTACACTGACAGTGGAGGAGCGCCCCCCCCCCCACGTACACTGACAGTGGGAGGAGCGTCCCCCCCCACGTACACTGACAGTGGGAGGAGCGTCCCCCCCCACGTACACTGACAGTGGGAGGAGCGTCCCCCCCCACGTACACTGACAGTGGGAGGAGCGTCCCCCCCCACGTACACTGACAGTGGGAGGAGCGTCCCCCCCCACGTACACTGACAGTGGGAGGAGCGTCCCCCCCCACGTACACTGACAGTGGGAGGAGCGTCCCCCCCCACGTACACTGACAGTGGGAGGAGCGTCCCCCCCCCACGTACACTGACAGTGGGAGGAGCGTCCCCCCCCACGTACACTGACAGTGGGAGGAGTGTCACCCCACAGAGCCCCTCCCCCATACAGTGGGAGGACTGCCCCCAGTACAGATGCAGAGCCCCTCCCCCACGGTCTCACCTGTGCCCGGTAGGCGGCGTCCATCCAGTAGAGGGTGACCTTGTTTCGTCGGAGGACGTCCTGTACCCCCCGGGGCAGTATTCTCTCCATGATTGGCTGCAGTGCAATGTCCCCTTCGGGGAGGGCGGTGAAGGTGCGGAGTTGGTCCCGGGAGTGCGGAGCGGGGGGAGAGGAGGAATACGGCGTTCTTACACCCGGCCGGGGGCTCCGCCTTCATTGGCTCCTCCACATCGACCAGCCTCCCCCGGCGCCCCCTCGCCAGGCCGGCTTGGCCGGGGAGGAGATGTCTGGTCGGTCCCACTGGAAGTCTGACAGAGTCTCCAGCAGGGCGGTGTGGGTGAGGGCGGCCCGGCAGGTGGCGGATCCCCGGACTCCCCTTCCTCCTCCCTCCCAGCACGCCTCCAGCTCTTCCTCGAACTCATCCCAGCTCCGGGGGCCCAGCTCCCTCAGGTCCGAGCGCCGGGGGGGTCGGCACCGTCCGCCCGAAGAGTTCAAGAAGCGGTAACTCCAGCGGACCTGGCCCAGGCCTACACGGCACGTCAGGTAGTTGAGCAGCCGGAGGGACAGAAGTTTCATCCGGTCCTTCAGAGCCGAGTCCGCGGCGTCCACCAGCAGCACCACATTGTACGAAGACGTCATGGCGGCTCCGGTGCCCCCTCAGCCCCCCCTCTACACCGGGTCACCGCACCGCCGCCATCTTTCCCGATCCTCAAGCACTGCGATCAAACCGGCCGCGCCACAACCTAACGCGGATGCTGATTGGCCGAGCGTCATCCTACCCCCCGTACACTGACAGTGAGAGGAGCGTCCCCCCCCCCCGTACCCATTGGTCATAGCCGGGAGGGAGTTGAATTGGCGCAGCCAATGGCATGCTGTGTACACATGTGACCAAGGCGCTCCACGTCAAGGGCTGATTAGTCAGAGAAAGGGAAACGCTGATGAGCTCTGCTATTGGCTGCTGCTAACATTTAAACATTTAAAGGGTGACGCTGGAACATATTACAGAGTGTGGGAGAAGATCGATCAGCTTTACCGCGCCAGCCCTCTGCAGGAGATATGATTACCTGTTATTAACGTGATAATCACCGGTAATCATATCTGTTTAGCTGTAAACCGAGCTCCTAGTTCCCCCCCAGCCCGCGCCCCCCCCCCCCTCTCCATCACGACCAACAACGCCACCATCAGTCCCACCACACAAGCCAAAGTCCTGGGTGTCAATCTAGACTCCAACCTGTCCTTCCAGCCCCATGTACAATCACTGGCAAACTCATGCAGGCTCCACCTCCACATCATCTCCAAAATACATTTGTTCCTCACCCCAGACACTACTAAACTCGTTCACTCCCTTATTATCTCACGCCTGGACTACTGCAACTCCCTCCTCACCGGCCTACCTCATCACAGACTATCCCCACTTCAGTCTATCCTGAACTCAGCGGACAGACTCATCCACCTTACCAACCCCTCCGTATCCGCCACCCCTTCTGCCAATCCCTCCACTGGCTCCCGATTGCCCAACGCATTAAATTCAAACTACTAACACTGACATACAAAGCCATTCATAACGCTGCCCCAAACTACCTCACCAACCTCATACCCAAGTACCACCCAACCCATAATCTTCGCTCCTCACAAGACCTCCTACTTTGTAGCTCCCTGGTCTCCATCTCCCACGCCCGACTCCAGGACTTCTCCAGGTCTTCCCCCATCCTCTGGAACTCACTACCCCAATCTATCAGACTGTCATCTACCCTCCTCACCTATAGGGGCACCCTGAAAACCCATCTCTTCAGGGAAGCCTACCCCGCCCTCAGCTAATTGCCGATCTCCTCCACTCTTCCTACCACTCCATCCCCCACAGCCATTTCCTCCTGTTCCACTATCCCTTCCCTCCTAGATTGTAAGCTCCAAGAAGCAGGGCCCCCGAACCCCTCGTGTATTGTACTCAGGGTGGATTTGATTTAAATCACACTAGTCAGTAAGGCTTGATTTAAATCCTAGTTTTCTACATAAAGACTAATTCTTGCTGGTATAACTTTAATATGCAAATAGATGAAGATTTTTAGAATAACAACTTTTCATATTAGTTTTTTTTTATCCCCAGTTTAATAGGTTAATCATTCATATTTGGACAACTTTTCTGTTGTACTTAGGAAGGAGAAAAATAATCATTCCCTTAATAATAAAAATTTAAATAGATTTATTCATCTGAAACAATAACATTGCAGCATATGTGATTTGCTTAAACAAACATCCATGTTTGTTAACTAATTTGGCTAAACAAATATATATATTTTAAGAAACTTAGACTGTCAGCCCCTCCCTCCTCCTCACACTTAGTTCCACTTTCTTCTTGTGCAGATCTATTCCACTCCAAACAATCAGAAAAATATTGTTTCTATTCTATTCACTGAACTTCTTGAAACTTAGCAGTGAAGGGGTTGATTCTGTATTCATAGGTTTGTAGAAGTTAGGATGAAGGTCTTTTTCTTAACTCTGTTCATGTTATAACATTTTTGCTGTGAAGAAGAGGCATGTGATCTCCGCTGAGTCAAATTCAGTTTTGAGAACTGCAAAAGTAAACCAATCAACTGTGATAATATCTTGTAGGCAGAGAAACTGCCCAATAATCTTACAAAACCCTCTGGAAGAGCATGACATTGTGAATGGATTCATGGAATTTATTTACCAAAAACATTAAACATATACAGCCTTATTCTACATAATTAAAAAATGAATCTTTATTTCATGATGGAATAACCTTTGGATGGTAATATATTTTCCTTAAAAAGCATTTTTATTTAAAAAAATCCGATTTAAATAAAAAAAATCCGATTTTTTTTTTTTTTTTTAAATCATTGATTTTTATCCACCCTGATTGTATTGTTACTGTACTGTCTCATGTACTATCCCCCACTATAATGTACAGCGTTGAGCAAAATGTTTGGCGGTATATAAATACTGTATAATAATAATAATAATATAACTACAGGACTATATATAGATCATTTAAAACATCTATAGCTATGTATGTATATGTGTGTGTGGATATATACACACACACACACACGCACAGAGTATCTCCCAGCAGTGAGTCCACCCCTCACATTTGTGTAAATATTTGATTCTATCTTTTCATGTGACAACACTGGAGAAATGGCACTTTGCTACAATGTGACATAGTGAGTGTACAGCTTGTATAACATGTAAATGTGCTGTCCCCTCAAAATATCTCAACACACAGCCGTTAATGTCTAAACTGCTGGCAACAAAAGTGACTCCACCCCTAAGTGACAATGTCCAAATTGGGCCCAATTAGGCGTTTTCCATACCCGGGGTCATGTGACTCGTTAGTGTTACAAGGTCTCAGGTGTGAATGGGGAGCAGGTGTGTTAAACTTGGTGTTATCGCTCTCACGCTCTCATACTGGTCACTGGAAGTTCAACATGGCATCTCATGGCAAAGAACTCTCTGAGGATCTGAAAAAAAGAATTGTTGCTCTACATAAAGATGGCCTAGGCTATGAGAAGATTGCCAAGACCCTGAAACGGAGCTGCAGCACGGTGGCCAAGACCATACAGCGGTTTAACAGGACATGTTCCACTCAGAACAGGCCTCGCCATGGTCGACCAAAGAAGTTGAGTGCACATGCTCAGTGTCATATCCAGATGTTGTCTTTGGGAAATAGATGTAAGAGTGCTGCCAGCATTGCTGCAGAGGTTGAAGGGGTGGGGGGTCAGCCTGTCAATGCTCAGACCATACGCTGCACACTGCATCAAATTGGTCTTCATGGCTGTCGTCCCAGAAGGAAGCCTCTTCTAAAGATGATGCACAAGAAAGCCCGCAAACAGTTTGCTGAAGACAAGCAGACTAAGGACATGGATTACTGGAACCATGTCCTGTGGTCTGATGACACCAAGATAAACTGATTTGGTTCAGATGGTGTCAGGCATGTGTGGCGGCAACCAGGTGAGGAGTACAAAGACAAGTGTGTCTTGCCTACAGTCAAGCATGGTGGTGGGAGTGTCATGGTCTGGGGTTGCATGAGTGCTGCTCTGGGGGTCCCTGCAGCACTTACCTTGTCCTTCGCTCCCACGATGTGTCCCCTGCAGCGTCCTCGGCCATCTCCTCCGGCGGAAGTCGGCATCCAGCTTCCGTGTTGCGGTCCCTGTAACGTCGGGACGTACGGGCGCCAGAACCGGCGGGAAATTTGAAATTTTTAAAAAATGTCATTTTTGCTGTCATTGCTATTTCAGTGAATTTCACATACTTTTGTCCCTACTGCTTTGTCCTGTGCCCTGCCTTCATTTTTACTGTTCTTTCTGCCTGGAAACTGAGAAAAGTCCATGGCGTCCAAAAAGCGTCCCTTTACGTCAAAAGCGGTTTTAGACCAGCGATAGTAAATCAGAACCACTTGCAGAATTGAGTGATAATGATTAGTGGGGAAATTCGTCAGACACTGAAAACGATTTTGCGACTTTGCTCAGCGATGTGCGAATTTGCCTCTGTATTTCAAATTTCAGTGTTTTTGGTTTGATTATATTATTGAATTAAATTTATTATTATTATATTATTTTTTATGATTTATTAAATTATAATTTATGATTTTGTGTTTCAAGTTTTATCATACCTGGGCTGTTTACTAGACTCTTGTTCGGACAGATTTCAGTGAGTTATTCCTAAAAATTACAGCCTACAATAAAAAACTACATATTTCCATGCAAAAAAATGGTACCGCTTTCAGCACAAAAAATCGGAAAGAATCATACCGCCGAGGAGGTTAAGAGGCTCCTCTGTCCTGCACTCATTACCTGTATCAATGGCACCTGTTTGAACTTGTTATCAGTATAAAAGACACCTGTCCACAACCTCAAACAGTCACACTCCAAACTCCACTATGGTGAAGACCAAAGAGCTGTCGAAGGACACCAGAAACAAAATTGTAGACCTGCACCAGGCAGGGAAGACTGAATCTGCAGTAGGCAAGCAGCTTGGTGTGAACAAAGCAACTGTGGGAGCAAAAATTAGAAAATGGAAAACATACAAGACCACTGATAATCTCCCTCGATCTGGGGCTCCACGCAAGATTTCACCCCGTGGGGTCAAAATGATCACAAGAACGGTGAGCAAAAATCCCAGGACCACACGGGGGACCTAGTGAATTACCTGCAGAGAGCTGGGACCAACGTAACGAAGGCTACCATCAATAACACACTACGCCGCCAGGGACTCCTGCAGTGCCAGACGTGTCCCCCTGCTTAAGCCAGTACATGTCCGGGCCCGTCTGAAGTTTGCTAGAGAGCATTTGGATGATCCAGAAGAGGATTGGGAGAATGTCA